CAACGCATTCCACCTTAACCCTCAGGGGTGACAACGCATCTGCATTTTGATTCTTAATCGAGGATAGACGTCGATGCCTATGGGCCACAACATCCATTTACCATCAGGTGGACTGTGTACCTGTTTGTTACACTTTTTTAGTTTGAGATTTTTAAAATTATTTTTCTTCACCATTTACCTATATTACTTATTCTTCCTAACTAACCTTCTCTGCAAATTTGGCCGGTTATTGCAAAATAACCCTGTATAATAATGACCGCATCAACTATAGTACTATTTTTTGATTCGATGAACAATTTGAAAATGATAATTTTAAATAGTTTAAATTTTAATAGCAGATCAAATAGAATAACTCATGATTATTATGTTGAATGAAAATGGAAATATATGGTCCCAGATACAACAAAATGGTGGTGTCATTAAGACTTTTCGCTTTTGAATTTTATAATTAATCACTGTTGTCACGGAATGTTGCCTCGTAGGTACAGAACAAATACCGTGCTCATGTGTAGTGAAATGAAAGTAGACAGACGAACGAGTGTTGCTACGTAAAATTACTGTGTATGTGAGCCTCAGTGCTCACATACACAGTAATTTTACGGACCACGCCGGGAATAAGCGAAATGAATTGCTAAGGGTTTAGTAGAAGGCCTAAAAGAAGAACGCCTAGAACAAGAAAGAATGTTGATAATGACGACATGAAGGCGGAGCCGTCTCAGCAGCGACAGAGCTGATTTAAATGTCAAAACAGTAATATTTCCACAGAATTAATATGATTTGAGTATCTTGGTTAATAAGTTATCAATATGAATTTAAAATGTTATATTATTTAGTAGAAATTTTCTACTAAATGGTAAGAACACTACACCTTCTTATGTTCCTTCCGACAAACAGTTAGCACAGGATATATACCTGGAGACGTGTAGAATGAGGGAACAGTTTCAACATTAGCTGTCTTAAAATTGCGCCGATATTTACCCCTATTCATTTTTATACAAAATCCTTTAAGACTTCTACTAAAACCATAACTGAAAAAAAGTACGATTTAAACTACTTAATTAAGAAATTTTCACTAATGTATAAAGATAGTTGTGTGGACTGAGGGACCACAGTTTAGATATTTGTTTGATTTGTCTTTAACACTTTGTGTCTTGTTATTTAGTAAATTAAGCTTTACAAATTCTTTACTAAATATCGGTCATCACATTAACTTACTTCTAAGATACTTTTCGAGATCTGACTAGTAGACTCCGTGAACTAAGGGACCACACTTTAAGGGATGTAACTTTTCTATATTCTGTTACAAATGCCAGGATACCATTGTTTTATTCCTACTATTAAATCCTTAGTAATTAATTTAGCGAATTCCCGGCTTGGTTCCTTAGTGCTCACTTACACAAACTACTATGCTACGGGTCCCAATTTTACTTACTATAACAATACTTCCATAACGATACTTTATTTACTATAACGTCAACAATACATAATATACCAAACTACCATGGTAACTACCCGTGTACGTAATAGAAATACACTAGCCATATTAACCCATAGTTATCGTAAGAGGTGACAGAAAGGAATTAAACAGGCAATGGACAACAGCATTTTCCTGACAACAATTAGAATTAAAATAAGGTAAAACTGCAGCAGGCTACTAACATGCTGAGCGTGGCAACTATGGTAAGTCTCCCCCTATAAGGCAGATCAAGGAGAGGTCTTTGTTTGGAACTGGACTTCGATAGGTTCGATGAATTAATGAAACTACTATATTCTAATAATTTAGCAATGTAACAGGTTACATTTTCACACATTTTGACGCCTAGGTTTAAAGTACAACGCCGTTGGAAATCTTACAAAATATAGAAATTCACACAGATCTGGAATAATAAAATTATGAATTCATTATTAAACTTTTAAATCTACTCCACACTATCTACAAAAATTTTTGGACTAGACTTTGAAATAGTTTTATTTCAGTTTACCACCGCCACTAGACTAGTAAGCTACTAGCTACTAAAGCTGATTCAAAAGGTCTCTTGGGTAAAAGGAGGAAAAGGCCTATATACATTATATCGACAACTTGGTCAAGTTAACTTTCTATAATCGTTAACATTATTATAAAACAATAAAAAATGGGAATGACATGTTACCTACAACTTAGGTCACGTGATCGTCATCAGACATTCATTTTTATGATTTTAGGCATAGGCTAAACCTGCAGCAGTATATTAGGAAGTAGGGCTGCGCGCTGGGCGCCAGGTCGGCCACCAGCTGCAGGAAGTGCACGAGACTCACCCGCGGCGGAGCGCTGCAGCGCGTACATCTTCTGGCCCTGCGGCGAGTTGAAGAAGGAGCGGTGTCGGAAGTAGGGCTGCGCGCTGGGCGCCAGGTCGGCCACCAGCTGCAGAAAGTGCACGAGACTCACCCGCGGCGGAGCGCTGCAGCGCGTACATCTCCTGGCCCTGCGGCGAGTGGAAAAAGGAGCGGAGTCGGAAGTAGGGCTGCGCGCTGGGCGCCAGGTCGGCCATCAGCTGCAGGAAGTGCAAGAGACTCACCCGTGGCGGAGCGCTGCAGCGCGTACATCTCCTAGCCCTGCGGCGAGTGGAAGAAGGAGCGGTGTCGGAAGTAGGGCTGCGCGCTGGGCGCCAGGTCGGCCATCAGCTGCAGGAAGTGCAAGAAACTTACCCGTGGCGGAGCGCTGCAGCGCGTACATCTCCTAGCCCTGCGGCGAGTGGAAGAAGGAGCGGTGTCGGAAGTAGGGCTGTGCTCTGGGCGCCAGGTCGGCCACCAGCTGCAGGAAGTGCAAGAGACTCACCCGTGGCGGAGCGCTGCAGCGCGTACATCTCCTGGCCCTGCGGCGAGTGGAAGAAGGAGCGGTGTCGGAAGTAGGGCTGCGCGCTGGGCGCCAGGTCGGCCATCAGCTGCAGGAAGTGCAAGAAACTCACCCGTGGCGGAGCGCTGCAGCGCGTACATCTCCTAGCCCTGCGGCGAGTGGAAGAAGGAGCGGTGTCGGAAGTAGGGCTGTGCTCTGGGCGCCAGGTCGGCCACCAGCTGCAGGAAGTGGAAGAGACTCACCCGTGGCGGAGCGCTGCAGCGCGTACATCTCCTGGCCCTGCGGCGAGTGGAAGAAGGAGCGGTGTCGGAAGTAGGGCTGCGCGCTGGGCGCCAGGTCGACCATCAGCTGCAGGAAGTGCAAGAAACTCACCCGTGGCGGAGCGCTGCAGCGCGTACATCTCCTAGCCCTGCGGCGAGTGGAAGAAGGAGCGGTGTCGGAAGTAGGGCTGTGCTCTGGGCGCCAGGTCGGCCAACAGCTGCAGGAAGTGCAAGAGACTCACCCGTGGCGGAGCGCTGCAGCGCGTACATCTCCTGGCCCTGCGGCGAGTGGAAGAAGGCGCGGTGTCGGAAGTAGGGCTGCGCGCTGGGCGCCAGGTCGGCCATCAGCTGCAGGAAGTGCAAGAAACTCACCCGTGGCGGAGCGCTGCAGCGCGTACATCTCCTAGCCCTGCGGCGAGTGGAAGAAGGAGCGGTGTCGGAAGTAGGGCTGTGCTCTGGGCGCCAGGTCGGCCACCAGCTGCAGGAAGTGCAAGAAACTCACCTGTGGCGGAGCGCTGCAGCGCGTACATCTCCTAGCCCTGCGGCGAGTGGAAGAAGGAGCGGTGTCGGAAGTAGGGCTGTGCTCTGGGCGCCAGGTCGGCCACCAGCTGCAGGAAGTGCAAGAGACTCACCCGTAGCGGAGCGCTGCAGCGCGTACATCTCCTGGCCCTGCGGCGAGTGGAAGAAGGAGCGGTGTCGGAAGTAGGGCTGTGCTCTGGGCGCCAGGTCGGTCACCAGCTGCAGGAAGTGCAAGAGACTCACCCGTGGCGGAGCGCTGCAGCGCGTACATCTCCTGGCCCTGCGGCGAGTGGAAGAAGGCGCGGTGTCGGAAGTAGGGCTGCGCGCTGGGCGCCAGGTCGGCCATCAGCTGCAGGAAGTGCAAGAAACTCACCCGTGGCGGAGCGCTGCAGCGCTTACATCTCCTAGCCCTGCGGCGAGTGGAAGAAGGAGCGGTGTCGGAAGTAGGGCTGTGCTCTGGGCGCCAGGTCGGCCACCAGCTGCAGGAAGTGGAAGAGACTCACCCGTGGCGGAGCGCTGCAGCGCGTACATCTCCTGGCCCTGCGGCGAGTGGAAGAAGGAGCGGTGTCGGAAGTAGGGCTGCGCGCTGGGCGCCAGGTCAGCCACCAGCTGCAGGAAGGAGGGGCGCGCGGCGGCGCGGTGCGACCAGCAGGCGCGCATGAGCTCGTACAGCCGGTCGGGGCAGTGCTCCGGCCGCTCCATCACGCCGCCCTCCACCACGTAGCGCACCACCTGCTCATTCGACAGGCCCTGCGCCCACAGACACGCATATACACGTTGTTCATACAAACCCAATAGAAAGGTAATAAACTACTACAACTGGACCGTGTTGTGCATCATTACCCACAAACTAGCCAAAATGAGCATCTAATAATACGTAATCCCAAATTTACATTCAATTGTCTTTAAAATGATATAAATAACAAAATAAAATATGGCTTCTATGTCTCTCAAATTTGATTACTTCATTCTTTTGGGTTGGATCATCTCAGCACAACACTGTCCAACTAAGCCACGTAGTGACGGTGTTTAGAAGCGATAAGTATTAAATGAGGTGAACTTCACTGGTTCAGTAAAACTTTTAGGCCGTTAGCGAATTAGTTTGTTGTTTGTTATCTATTTGATGTTTGGCAAGTCTACCAGACGATTTTGGAATACACTATCGTGTATATACAATGGGTGCGTTTGGCAGAAAAAAGCGCTAGCAAGCGCTTATAAGCGCTAAAATAGTTTTCGGCCAGGACACGATTGCTACTTCAGTAGCGCTGACACAATCCGCCATTTTGCTTATTTAATTTGTTTGTTTTGAAGTAGAGTTTATAAGTTGTTTTGTGCAATATTAGTTTTAAGTAATATAATGACATGAATAAACATATACATGCTATTAAAAACTCATGATTGGTAAGTTTTAATATGAATACTTTACAAACATATATTTAAATTAGGTTAGATTCCCCCGGTTAAAACTAACATCGTGTCCTGGAGGAAAATAGCTACTTACGATTTGACAGCGCTTACCGCTTACGATCGCCATTTTGCTTACAAGCGCTTGCTAGCGCTTTTTTCTGCCGAACGCACCCAATAGATTCAAAGATTTTTCGGGATTTAAGTTGCAATATTTAAAATGTTAAAGTTAAAACACATTGCAAGTAATTTTGAAATTTGCGATGTTACTTAAAATTGACATAGAAACAATAAGATATTATAGCTTATAATGATTTATAATCACTATCGTCATCATTATTATTATTACAGACAACCACAAGTCTACTGCTAAATATAGGCCTCATAAAAATACTGCCACATAAATTAAAATTTTGCTGCTGTTGATCTTCAAACAGTTGAAGACATTTCCTTGAAACATTTTAGCTATGTTTCTTGAAACAGCTAAAACACTCTCGATTAAGACAATATAATACGAAAACTTTATCAAAATCGGTTCATTCGTTCACGAGCTATGATACCACAGACAGACACATAGATATACTTATACACAAATACACACTACAAACATATAAAAACCCTCTGTTTTCGTCGAGTTTAAAAATTGTGTAACTCTCGTGGGAATCGTGTTTAGCGTCGTTTGAACTCTAACGTCTAATTTCATTTTAATGTTTAAATGTATCGATATACGATTATAAGCCGATGTGTCTTATATTAATATCTTATATAAGGTAACAAAAAGGAAAAACATAAAGAAGTTTCGGAATGGTTCCCATTGGCAACGATTCTCATAGGAGTTACAAATTGCACTCCTGACACGCACTAGTTATATACTCTGGCTATTAAGTAACATGCTAAATTTTATAATAATAATAATAATAATAATGTCCTGCAGACCGAATTTCGGTCACGTCGGCCTGCCTCAACGGAGGTTAGCCATCGGCGCAGGACAGGATTATAGTGCCCAAGTGTGTGCGCAAGCACAGGTGCACTCTCTATTCCCTCACTCACGTAATCCGATGGGACGGTAAACCGACCCGACCGGAGAGAGATCAGACGCAGGACCAACGGCTTTACGTGCTTTCCGAGGCACGGGGGTGAGACACCGCCAACTTCCTGACTCCGGGCAACTTATGAGAATTTACTGACGAAAAAATTCGAATTCGAACCCATTACCTCATGATCAGCAGTCGCACTACAACAACCACTAGACCAACGAGGCATTCAGATAAATTTTATATCTATATATTAAAGTACCAATGTATGTAATCATATGATCAGTATCTTTATATAAATCAATAAGGATTTTTTAAGTAAGAATAATTTTAAGCAGATGTAGCCGTCACAATAAACGTATTTATATTTTACCTGATAGGGCTGCATCGCTAGTGTCGCCATTTCCCATAGCACGACACCGTAGCTCCACACATCACTATTACTTGAAAACACCTAAAAAAACGGAATTTTACACATTAAGTTTTAAGAACAGTCATTTAAGCATGTTACTAATATTATGATCTCAAAACACGTATGTAGTTACACTTCACTGGATTAAATTTGGAGTGTGTATATTATTCCAAACCATTTCATTCCACTTTCATAATATAGTATTTGAAACTAAACGCACCAATAATTTATTCGACATTTAATCAATAATTCAGAGTGAAGCGTAAACGTAAGAGAAAACGTTGAAGATCATGCCATATTTAAATAGACTATTTTGTTCGTCTAGTGGTCAAAACTCGACTATAGTTAATTTAATCGAAATTTTTTAAAGTTTGTATATTTAAAAATCGTATGAGTTATAGCAAGCTGTATTTAACTTTCAGCTGTACACTAAAACACATATACATATCTCATACGCAAAATATAAAAATAGTACAGAAAAATAAACAAAATTAGGATTTGAATACCGAATCAGTTATATTTTAAAAACTTACCCCATCTTTCAAGCTCTCTGGGCTCATCCACCGGACGGGCAGTAGACCCTTAGTGCCCTTCCTATAGTAGTCAGTCTCATAGATGTCTCGCGTCATGCCGAAGTCGCCCACCTTGACGGTGAGGTCGCCGGCCACCATGCAGTTGCGCGCCGCCAAGTCGCGGTGTACGTACTTTTTGGCGGATAAGTATGCCATACCGTCCGCTATCTCTATCGCCATCTGTATATATAGATATTATACGACAATATAAGTAAATGAAGTAGTTTTAATCAATCAAATAAACATCTTATTTGTGTGTGCATTCAAATACTTCCAACTAAAAATCACCAAGTTTTAGGCAATAATAAATGTAGCTTCTAATTATATCATGTAGTAATAAAACTTGAGGTATTACGAAATGTACGCACAACGAACTGATCTCAGATGCAGAGTAAATATTTTTTACGTAAGACATATGTATAGTGAGCGATGGTGTGAGACTTCAGGCCTATCGTACTTGACCTGCAGGATGTTCTGCAGCGTGGGCGGCGCGGCGTCGTCCTTCTTGGGCAGCGAGGAGTCGGCGTCGGGGCGGTGCGAGCGCAGGTAGGTCTTGAGGTCGCCGAACTCCATCAGCTCCATCACCACCAGCGTGGGCTGGCCGCGTGACACCACGCCCAGCAGCCGCACCACGTGAAACGTATCGAACGCCTTCATCACTGACGCCTCGTTCAGGAACTCAATGCGCTCCCTATACACGTATTCTAATATTGTTTCACAAATTCTATTGATAAACATAAAAAATTGCTAATTCAGTAGTCGCACTACGAAGTTAAAGCTGGCAACACAGAACTTTATGCCTGGTTTTAGGTCTAACGCATATGTAAGTACTAAGAATGGCTAGAAAGTGAAGCTAAAAATAGAGGTTATTACCTTTTTGGGAGTGATCTATATCCTCAAAGTTATTAACTACTATCTCTCACTTCGCTAATGAAATTACTCTGTTACAACGTACAAGAGACTACTTAATAATGCACTAAATAACAATACATTTTTAATATTACGTCAATATCATACGGCTTTGAACATAATAAAATGTATTTAAGTACCTGTCAGTGGCATGTTCATTAACCGTTTTTACAGCGCACCGAGTTTCCGGTTTTCCTTTTTCTATGTTTTTAGCAATACCTTCATAAACCTAAAATTAAAAACAGGTAAATAATTAGCGGCAACGCCTAATTATTATATAAATTTAAAATTAATGAATGTGTTCACAAAGTGAACAATTAACTTTAAATAATACATTTGAAATTAGAACTTAATTATTTTCATTTTTATAAGTAAGTAAATTGACTGGATCAATACATAACATTTTCAGTGTTACTTTATGACAATGTATGATTTATATAGCCATTTCACAGTGGCAACACAGAGCAAAACTGGCCACCGGCGAATCGGTAGCCCTACGCGGGTGTTCCCTCTTTCAAAGTATAAGTCCAAGCGGTCCTATGCGTATAATAAAACAAGTTTTTGGATGCGCAGATTTCCCCCGCAAAAAAAGACAGACAGTTTTATATCGGAGAAAACGCTATGGCTAGTAGTAGGCCGGTGGCCTGTGTTGCTATATATAGTAACAATAATTGATTTTGTTTGGGGTGTGACATTGAATGTTTGACAACAACCAGAAACACCCGGTTTAAGTATGAGAGTAGAACAGTTAAATAGAATTTTGTAACTGATTGAAAACCTACGCTACATTATAAATCCTACTTCATACTAAAGGTTTGCAACCGTAGCAGGATGTACATACCATGCCAAAGGAGCCCTGACCAAGCTCGCGGATGAACTCGATGCTGGTGCGCGGCAGCTCCCACTCATCGGGCACATACACGGTGGACACGTACTCCGGGTTGACGGTGGCGAACAGCTTGTTGCCCTCGGGCGACGGCAGCGCGCGGCGCGCGTACCAGGCGCCGCCCGCCAGCAGCAGCAGCAGCGCCGCGCCCGCCGCCGCGCCCCACGCCCACGCGTAGCCCGCCTCTGAGCGCCGCTCCTGCGTACACACATGAACCTCGCATCATCACTGCACGCCCACGCGTAGCCCGCCTCTGAGCTTCGCTCCAGCGCACACACATCATGCAACTTCGCAACATCACTGCACGCCCACACGTAGCCCTCCTTCGATCCTCGGACACACAAATGCTAAGACATATAGTACGCGTCACGTAAAAAGAACGCTGGCGGTCAAGCTGCGCATAGGCGATTTATCGGTCTACTTGGTGGTATGAGGTAGGGCGCGGGGCGGGTGAGCCACGCGCCGCATGTTTACCGATGCGCTATTGGTTCATCAGTTGAGCTTTGCTTCCCGCGTAGTATCCACGTTACGTTCCTTTTAAAAGTACCATCGCGCACAAAAGTTTTAAATTACGAAATGGTTTTACATAGAGAAGTGAGAAAAATGATTTATGACGTATACTGTTTTATGAAGAGGGAAGCTGATAATAATGTAGTTAATAATTTAAAACAATGTATGAAACGGACCGCAGAGGCAACAAAATGTTCCGAGTCGACAGTGAGACGAATAGTAAAGGGTTCAAAAGATTCGGAATTTCTTACTGTTTTCCGAACTCCCGGCAAAAATAAAAGAATCAAACATAAACCAATAACAGACATTGACAGCTTTGACCAGGGTGTTATAAAAAGAATGATCCATAATTTTCACGTTACTGAAAAAGAATTGCCACCATAGGCAAATTGCAAAGGAAGTTACAGGATGACATACATTTCCAAGGATCTGCAGCAAGTCTCAGGCGAGTATTGAAAAACTTGGGTTTTAAATGGAAAAAAACGGAAACCAATAGAAAAATCTTAATTGAGCAGTCACAAATTCGATTTCAAAGAATTGAATATCTGAGAAAGATTAAAAAATATAGAGAGGAAGTAAGACCTATCATTTACACTGACGAATCATACGTCGATAGTTCCCATGCGTCTCACCATGCTTGGACAGACGGTTCCACCAAGGGCATTAAAAAACCTGTATCTAAAAGTAGCCGCTTAGTCATAGTGCATGCGGGTGGCGATGCAGGTTTTGTGCCGAATGCTTTACTGACGTTTAAAGCCGGTACAAAAAGCGGCGACTACCATGACAATATGAATTCTGAAAATTACGAGCGGTGGCTCCGTACTCAACTGATACCAAATTTACCGCCTAATTCAGTCGTGGTAGTCGATAATGCATCGTACCACAATAAACAACTCGATGCTGCACCAACGTCCAATTCAAAGAAAGCAGACATGCAAACCTGGCTTCGTCAAAAAGGTATTGAATTTGAAGAGACCATGCTAAAGCCGGAGTTGTACAACTTAATAAAAAAATGCAAAGATAAATTTAAGAAATTTAATATCGATGCTATTTTGAACGAAGCAGGACATTCTGTACTTCGTTTGCCCCCATATCACCCGGACCTGAATCCTATTGAAATGGCCTGGTCCCAAATAAAAAGTTATGTTGCCTGTAAAAATGTAACTTGGAACCTGACACGTATAACTGAGTTGATTCATGAAAAAGTAAATTTAATGGGAGCAACAGAATGGGGGAAGCTATGCACGAAGGTAAAAGAAATAGAGGCTGATTACTGTAAAAGCGATCATGTGGTGGACATGATGACAGAAACATTTGCTATCCACATAGGGGATCATGATTCCGACTCAGATGAGGATGGAAGCTCGAGTGACGACAGCGACGACGATGAAATGGCCACTTCTAGCACCAACACCGCGTCCTCATCTGGTTTTCACGTCACGCATGATGACTTAATGGAAGGAGTTTCTACATTACTTTAATTTTATTTCGATTAAACATTCTATAATACATAATTCAAACATGTTTTTAATTCATTTTATTGATATTTTATCTAATATATTTTTCAATGTTATAACTAATAAGAATAACAAATATATAGGTACGAAGCCACGACCCGCGAGCGAAAGCCTAGTTAAAAAATAAATTAATAGGCACATAACTTTCGTGCGAGACTGTACCCATGCGCAAACACACTCCCACCACTTTCTTCCAGCGTTCTTTTTACGTAACGCGTGCTATACTTTCCCCACACCATTTGCAGAAAAGAAATCGTAACATCTATTTATCTAAAATTTATAAATGATGCTATTTAGTGGATAATGTACATTAAGGGTACGCGCACAGCGATGACGAACAGGTCGGGTACTCTTGACGTTTAAGTTGTGAAACTTGGACTAGATTTCAATCGGAGCTGTTATTTGTAGTCTGTGAGTACAACACTAGAATTTCATAAAGAGCGTCCACGTGTGTTACAATGCGTGCTACCCTAATACAGATGTATCGCGCCTAGGACTGTGGCGAGAGATTACGCACCGGTATGAAGACGTAGACGTGCGCGGAGACGTTGCCCGCGCCGCCGACGGTGAGCGGCGTGACGCGCACGCTGTAGTTGCCGGGCGCCAGGTTTCGCAGCACGTAGCTGCGCCCGCTCGCCTCGTAGTCGCTCGCCGTGATGCAGCTCTGCAGTCCCACGTCCTGCGCCTGCCGAACCACACCAAACACCTCATATTCATTCATTTGCGCATTAACACTAAGTTTAATAAATATGAGTTAAGAAGTACTTTACATGATCTTTTAAATAAGAAAATTTCCATCGAAGGAGATATGAAAAACCATATTGGCGGTGGAACTACGCCATAAAAAATTTGTTATACTCGTTATTTTAATTTTTATTGTTACCTTTGTAGTTCACACGACTTATACATATGTTAATTGTAGTTCTTAAGAGTAGGCTAATTAAAGTACTAGAAAAAACAACACGCCTTCTCATTAACACCTTTACGACATCAAAATAAATATAATAAATAATAATAAACCGTCAAAATAGGCCGAAACAGAAACAGAAACAGAATTTTTTTTATTCAATGTAAATTATAAACAATACTTATTGAAAGTCAATTTTTTCATTTAGCACTGGTTCGCAATAAAAACCTCTAAGAACTTTCCAGCAAGAAACCCAGCGGGACTATTTTTTTTTTTCAAATAATAGCTTACAACCATGTTTACAATTAACAACATAAGACAAGTTAGAAATAGCTTGGTAGCGATCACCCTTCCCAGGGGTTATTATCATCCATAAATTCCTTAATATTATAATAACCCTTTTTATACAAACTTAGTTTAATAAAATTTTTGAACTTTGCGTATGACAAATTTTGTATATTTTCTGGGATTTTGTTGTAAAAGCGTATACATCGCCCCAAGAATGAATTACTGACTCGGTGGAGTCGAGTAACTGGTACTACTAGCTTGTGTCTGTTCCTTGTATTTACAGAATGAATATCACTTATTTTTGCAAAACTACGTTTATTCTTGAGTAAGTACATTACATTTTCATATATGTATTGAGAGGCTAGAGTTAATATATTAATATCCTTAAATTTTTGTCTCAGTGACTCTTTTGGTTTGAAATTATATATTTCTCGGCCCTCTTCTGTAAAATAAATATAATTTCAGTGTCAGTAGCGTGTCCCCATAGCAAAATACCATACGACATAACGCTATGGAAATAACTAAAGTAAACTATTCTAGCTGTTTCAACACTGGTACGAGTTCTGATCTTTTTTACAGCATATGCTGCAGAACTAAGTCTGCTAGCTAGTTTTGATATATGGGGGAGCCATTGAAGCTTAGCGTCTAGTGTGATTCCAAGAAAAATAGTGGTATCAACAAGACTCAGTTCTTCCCCATTTAAAATTACATTCGTATTAACATGTTTAACATTAGGAGTTACGAATTTCATACATTTAGTTTTAGTACCATTTAAATGCAAATTATTAACATTAAACCAATTGACTAACTTAGCTATAGCATTATTTACTTCGTCGTAATTTAATAACTGTCGTTTTAATTTAAAAATTAATGAAGTATCATCAGCAAATAGTACTATATAATGGCTATCCCCTACTATGTAAGGTAAGTCATTAATATATACAAGAAACAGAAAGGGGCCGAGAATTGAGCCCTGAGGCACGCCCATGTGTACAGTCGACCCGGAAGAACTCATACTATTAATGACAACTTTTTGCGTGCAACTTAAATATGAAATAATTTAAGAGCATCACTTCTTACACCGTAGTTTGACGTTTCCTGATTAATGCTTCATGGTGAACACAATCGAAGGCCTTGGATAGGTCACAGACTATACCCAAAGCATCCTGTGTATTCTCCCATGTATTAAAGATATATTTAATAAGCTCAACACCAGTATCAGTTGTCCAGCGACCCCTTGTGAAAGCGAATTGATTTTTATGAAGTAAATTATTTACATTAAAAAATTACATAACTGATAAATGTACATATTAAACAATTCTAACGTTTTGTTTAGGCGTATTGATCGATATCGTGGAAAATTGCCGAACTTACTCGCTCAAAACAATATTTTACTGCCGGGTGGTAAAGTTTTAGTTTTATTTATTATAAATATAAATTAAAAAAAATTCTTAAAATTAAATACAAACCTCGCTGTTGTCTTCAATACGCGAGTGATGCACATTGTATGCAACTACAAATCCATTAGGGTTTTCTGGTGGCTTCCAAGTTACGTTTACTTCGGGTAAGGTTTTGTTTGAGACTATGACTTCAGCTCGAACATCTTTTACTACGTCGGCATTTGCTGTGGGCAACAAAAGGTTAAACTTAATTGTAAAAAAAAACCACAATAACTGTATTACAAAGTGTGGGCTTTTTGAAGTATGTATTTTAATATGCATTAATGAACTCAAACGTAATCTATTTACGTCTCTCTAAAGACTTCACTAATTTTATATTGTACCGTTATAAAAGTAATAAACATGTTTTGCTATTGTGAAAGACCAGATCAAAAATATGCAAAAATTACGTTATGATCATGTTTCAAACTGATTAAAGAAATGTTCACCATACCATATAAAGATTTAAAATAAAGCAGCACTTACGCAACTCTAAAGTCCGAAAAGTGTTGAAGGTTCGTCCAGAGCACCAAGTTTCCTTGTAGTTGTCAATCGGTTCGTAATCTTGTTTTTCACGACACGCCCACAGGTTGACGGTGTACCAGGTGAAATGGCGCATATTCTCTACCAATAGTGACCGCGTGTTGCCGTCCAGCTCGTAGTACAGCGACTTCACGTACCCTGGCAATGTAATCTTGGTCATAGAGAAAACTACTTTATTTGTAAGTAAGTGGAGTTTATTTTGAAATCTTAATATATATAAATTACGTGTCACGTTGTTTGTCCGCGATGGACTCCTAAACTACTTAACCGATTTCAATCAAATTTGCACACCGTGTGCAGTTTGGCCCAACAGATAGGATAGTTTTTTTGCCCATGAGTGACCCACAATTTTTTTGCGAATTTAATGATTTTAATAGGACATGACAAAGGATCGTCGAAACGGGCAGAACAACGTCTCCCTGGCAAGCTAGTAATTTATATATTTAATGTTAGTTAAAGTAAAGCTTAGTTAGGGTAAAAATGTTTGATCAACAAAAACATTTTATGAATTACAAATATACAAGGGTGGAATTGAGATGATAAAACAATATTTCACATCATATTATGCACTGATAACAGGATCCTCACTCGATTGAAAACACGCACCAGCCTCACACGAAGCCTCAGACATTTCCATCGGTTTCTTGTGAAGCTTGTCTAGGGAACTACCTTCTTTATATTAAATTTGTTATCATACGAACCAAACAAGCTAATGCTGTAAACAGTTCGCGACTGGGCATATGCCCATCAGCCTTCATATTATTATTTCGAAATAATTTCGTGGTGATGATGACATCTTAACATATCCTACACAATATCAGTTACTAGCGATGAAAAACAAAAGAAGAAAGAATTCGTTTCGAATAGACAGTCCACTTCCATCAAAATTTTTGATGGAAGTGGACTGACCATTTCCACTCCTATCAAAAAAAAATTTGTAATATCTATTTCATTATAACTTTTATTTATCTTTTTGTGTTTTTTAATTAAGATATATTTTTATTTTTCTTAATTAGGCAATACGCTAAGTCGATAATACATATTTTCCATATAATGAAGAAAGTGACGCCAACATGCAAACGTGTTTTAATTTAAATGATACTGTGTGAATGTAAATCAATTAATTACAAGACAATTGAAGAACATGCAAAGCATATAGTGAATCTATGTACAACCTCAAAACAGTCATGCTAGAAGTATTAATCAAGCGTTTTAACTAAATATATATAGGGCTTTACTCACATCATGCAACAATCCTTATCAGGGATTACAAGAAAATATCTAATTTTTAACCTGTAGTATTGTCCTTAATGATGCAAGCGTTAGGCTCGATGCGACCGCACTTGACTGAAATTAGAATGTTGAGATGGATGTGATGAGGGCGGTGATGCTTATAAGCATGAGGGTAAGCATAGACAAATTAGCAGAGAGATGGCGTTAATATCAGTGTGTTAAAATATAATGGCTGCTTCCAAGATTGACTAATATTTCTTCCAAAGTATTATTACCTTCCGTGTCAGTAGAGTTGAAATACTTTGATCCTTGTTCGGGTTTATTGTATCCGCTTAGTATGACCAGCATGCTGTTCAGCTGTTTGTCTATAGCCCGTTTTATTCTGCTGCTACCCGATTTAGAAGATTTGTTTCTCTCAGTTTTGACGTAAACCTGATGGGAGGAATTTGTTCTCTATAAGTTATTAAGTTAGAAACAAGACAAGGCAAATACATAAAAAATATTCTTGTGATTTGTTGCAGCCGTAGATAAAATACAAGATATGCATTATAAGTCGTTTAAGCTTCCTCGTCAGCACTACGTTCTTCGTTTATTTTTAATCATTTGTTCAAATTCAATTGATGATATTATAACTATTGAATTTTACAACAAAAATCAAAGAAACGTGGCTACTTGTGATAATTCATTGCGACATTTCGTTCCGTGGGAGTCCTAAGTAGAGACTATGGTATAATGGCAAAGAAATATAATGGCATCCAATATATAACCATCTCTTTTAAGATAGATATACTCAGACCAGCGGATTTTGCGAAATGGATGAAATCTAAATTGTTTCGGAAAAAAGAATGCATTTTTTTGAGACGGGCTTCTAACGAAGTGATCTTTGTATGACCGAACAATCTGCCCCTTCACTAGTCTGGAACTTAATAATGGATGTATTCAGAATGTATTTCTGCGTGTATTTTGACGCATTTTAAGAAGAAGAATACTTGTTTGAAATTCATTTTATACTGATCAGACCGACCGGTCTTTTAATACGCGCAAGTCTGCAGTTTCAATTGAAACAAAAACAGAAAAATAAGTGTTGTTACAGGTTTTATATGAAACCTCACGTGGCAAACGAACGTACAGTCCACCCGATGGTAAGTGACTGGTCGCTGGACATCTGCAGCCAACTTGAAACAAATGATAGATGCGTTGCCTGAGGACTTAGCCGGAATGCCTTACAGCATCTAATTAATTTGGTTCTGTATACCTTTCAGACCCAAACAAATTAATGAAAGCATTGCTATTTGGCGGTAGAAACATGTAAGAGGATGGTACATTAGAAATTAGTTAGTAGTTAAAAAGTTATAGTTACAGCCTATACGCGACCCACTGCTGGGCACATGCCTCCTCTCATTTCTGAGAGGGTTTTAGAGCAAGGAAATGTCCACCGTGCTACCTCAATGCGCGTTAGTGAACCTCACGTAATCGAAATATTTTTTATTTCGTTTCCTAGACACGTAGGTTTCTCACATTTACCTTCACCTCCAAGGACGTGGCAAATTAGCACCTAAAATTGCAATGAACAATTTCATTGGTGCCAGCGGGAATCGAATTCGAGTTGCTAGCGTATTGTGAAATTTTCTTTAGCCTCTGAACTACTACGGTTCTCCATAAAATCCTTATCTTTCACATACCCCCACGGAAGGAAGTCTAACCGGGTCAGATCTAGCGAGCGAGGTGGCCAAGCGTGTGGTCCTAGTTTGCCGATTCAGCGATAATCTAATAGTTCGGTGAGGCACTCACGGATGAACCTCACGACATGGACATGGACATGGAGGTGCACTATCATGCTGGAACTATGTGCGGCGATATTCAGCCAACGATTCGTCGTCTAAAATGTCAACCAACTGTTCATTTATGAAGTTTAGGTATCATAGTTAGCCACAGCTATTGTCAATTTGAAGTTGTTGATTTTTAGTCACGCAAAAAGGACTTAAAGAATTTTGAAGTTGGTATGGCATCTGCCCAAATGGACTGTAAGGTAGAAAAATAGTCCTACACCTGGAATAGTATGGGTTAAAATTTTACATTATGGAGTTTGAATTTAAACACGAAATTGTCTCTGAATACCGTTCCAAGACTAGGGGAGAAGAAACGCAGGTGATATTAAATTAAATAATTTAACTAGCATTAAAGAAAATAGTGAAGATTCTCACGTGGTTCTGCAGTTCGTTCTCGAAGTTGATGCTGTCGATGCGCTCCTGCTCGGCGCGCGAACTGAAGCGCGAGGCGGGGCGCGGCGCGCACGCGCACGTGCCGCCCACCTCGCCCCCCGCGCCTGCCGCGGCCCCCGCAACCGCCGCGCCCACAGCGCTCCCCGCACCCTCACCACCCTCCCCACCCTCCGCACTCTCTGCCACTTCTTCGTTGCGCACCGTTATCATGTTCGAAAGCGCGCTTGCTGCCGGACCACACATTCGATTATAGCTCTTCGCAAGTTCCAAATTTCATAATAGTTTATCCCCACACATGGATCAGAGAATAGAATCATTTTTATTCAATATAGATTACATGAATACTTATTAAAAGTCACTTAATTTTTAGCTTTATCACTGATCCGGAAAAATTTTATGCAAGCCATAAGTAAGAAAGTACCAGCAAGAAACTCAACAGGTCATTTTTAAGTACAAGGGAGCAGAAGCCCCAAAAACTTAATAAATGTAGTTAAATGCAAAGCCACCAGTCTTATTTATTATACATACAAGAGCTCGTGGAGCTTTAGACATTGAAATTTGTACCGTTCTTATTACTATCGCCATAAAGATAAGGTAAGTAAACTCACAATAATGTGCTTTTATGTCCTCTTGTACCTCTACTATCCCATGGCCTGTACTTAGTTTCAAAAGTATGTACTGATATACCGATTTAGCAAGTTTTGAAAATACGATTACATAAGCCTTCTATTTTTATTTGATATTATCTCAAATAGAATATAATTTATGGTCAACAACTACAGCGTACGTGCGCTCCTACGTATGCGATGCAATCCACAAAGTTTGACCTACTATTAACTTTCTTAATGACATGCGCACTAGGTACTAATGCTTACGTTATAACTATACGACGCGTTGACGCGAATTATGATTCCAATTTTCCTTTAACTTTTAACGGGCTTAGGATCGTCATAGTAAATACATATAATTAAAAAAATACATTTTTGCGTATCAAGAAAGTAACCAGTGACTGGCACATTTAAAAAATTGGAAACATTTACGAGTAAATTACGCAAGTAGTCTCAATAACTAATTTATTTGTAAGTCCTCAAAATGGAATTTGTTTCTGTCCTCAAATTATTATTTAGAGTTATTTACTGTATTTGAGCACATTGAACTTGAGTGAATGCAGCAATAATTTTTCTGAGGCGGTCTTCATTACTTTGGGCTTCTTCGACGTAAACATGTCACTATACTTCACCCCACAGATAAGTCTAACGGTGAAAGATTCGGTGACTTTGAAGGCCATAGTGTAGTCGCACACTGCACCACGCACCACGTAAACTTTAGTAGCTTGAAATGTAAAACCGTACCATTTCATATTATTCGCGGTTAGAATATTTTCCTTGCGTTATTAACGACCTTACCTTCGAAAATTTCAAAATAGCTCAGTCGCAATACCTATACCTATATATTTTATATACCTTTTGACGTTTCACATTAATCATTCCGCAATACCTTTGCAGAAGCGTACTCACACGATTTAAAATAACCTTTTACGTAAAACCGAAGAATCATGAAGTTTTCTATATTTCATTACAACGTGTATAGTTTTTTATCACTCATTTAAATTTGAATCTTTCAAACAAATCAAAATATTAAAAAATAACCAGTATAAACTTTTTTTTACTTGACGTCGTTTCAATGATATGACGCTATGTACATTACCGTAGTGTTTGGATGATTAAAATTCATTTTTATGCGAATAATCGGCAACATATTAAAAAATCTGTTAAAAATTCAAATAATCGAATCATTAATTTTTTTGATGTATTATTTGTCTAATTTCAATTTTATTTTCAAAATTCCTTAAATCACATGAATCATGAATAAAACAAGTTTATTGTTTTTACTTTGCCAAAGTAAGTTTGAGCAAAAAAACTCAAATACAAGGCTGTGCTAAAATAACCACTACATTAATATACAATATATATATATAATATACAATAATTCAATATCCCGTCATTTCGGTACCAGTTACTCGATTCCACAGAGTCAGTAATACGCCTTTACAACAAAATCCCAGAAAATATACAAAATTTGACATAAGTACACAAAGTTCAAAAACTTTATTAAACTATGTTTATATAAAAAGGGTTATTTTAATATTAAGAAATTTATGGATAATAACTTCAGGGAAGGTTGATCACTACCAAGCTATTTCTAATTTGTTTTGTGTTGTTAATTGTAACACGCATGATTGTAAGCTTTTATTTTTTTTAAACTAGTCCCGCTGGGTTTCTTGCTGGTTCTTCCCAGGACAGAGGATTTTTTGCGAACCAGTGTTAAATGAAAAAAGTGACTTTCAATAAGTATTATTCATAATCTATATTGAATAAAAAAGTTTCTGTTTCTGTTTCGAGAGCTTACTTTACGTAATTTTGTGATTTTGTGTTCATCTTCTTATTTTACGACTCGGCTTTAACTTTTTGGACTGTTTCTTCTATATTCGTTGAAGCATGTGCCCATGTCACATAAGATGATTGGGCAAAAGTGGTAGAAAAAACAAAGAATGCATTATGGATGACTTTGAAAAAGACATTAATTTTGCCTGCATTATTGAAAATCAAATAATAATTAATATAAACAACGACATCTCTACTAAATAGTTGTACTGAAAGTGATTGAATAAATTTATTTTTAATATAGTTTCGATCTTAAATTTTTATAAATGTGCCTCTAGAAATATGCAGTAACAACAAATACGAAGAAACTGATAAATCTTGTGTTTTAATAAAATAAAATAGTTTAAAAAAAATTAAAAAAGGTATTATTCAAACCAAACTGTAAATGATTACCAACTCTATATAATCGATATCGATTTTTTTAAGAACCGAATATTGTACATGGCCAATTTTTGTTTGGCATGATTGGTGCAATAAGTCTGACAGCTGTCATAATTTATTTCTTAGATTTGGTTGACTATAGCAATGTAAAGGTTAAAGAAACTCAATGGCATAGGAAGACGCGCGACGAGGTACCTAAATTTGTAACCTAGCGACTCTTACAAATGTGTGCGTACGTAGTAAAATAGTAGGCGTTAGATATTTATGAATTACAATCAGTTTAAACAATGCATTTTCATACATTCTAAATCTTAAAGATAAAAAGAACAGAATGTTTTTTTTTTTTAGTTATTTTTCACCATTCACCTATATTACTTATTCTAAACCTCCTGTGCAAATTTGGGTATAGTTTGCAAAATATATTATACGAACCAGTATATGAACCTAGTATATGAACGGGGGAGGGGGTCCCCTCCCTCCAAGCATAAAAATATTTAGAAACGGCATGGTAGCATCACTTCATTCCCAGGGGTTAATATCAATCATGTACTATATCAACTAAAGATGCATAATTTAACTCTTTATCACAGTTTTATCTTTACAGTTGGCAAATGAATGTACTTATGCAAAGCAACGATAGCAAGGGCAAGGGCAGGCCGACATCATGCCAGCGCACTTCACTGAGTCTGTCTCTGATAGACAATACAGCGCAAGCGTGTTTTATAGTTCATTATTCTTATATATAATGTCCAGAATGGTGAATTACTGTTGTAATTATATGAGTTACTGTGTAAAATTTAATTTAAATGGCGTCTATGCTTGTTTCTCTCATTTTCTTTTGGTAAAATTGTTTATCCGAATGCGAATACACTAGATAATATAACAATCGATAACTGAAAACTTCCAATATTAATCGACAATACCAATGTTATTGGTATTGTTGATCGAAGAAAATGAAAACATCTTTAAAAAAAATGTCACGAAAATATTTGGCGGTGCAACACATGTAAATGTGTTTTTCTTGTAGTAATAAAAAATGATCTTATTCAAAAATGTTTTAACTTATAAGTATTATGTTTTATTTATTTTATTTTGTTTTATTTGCCTTAAAAATATTATTATTATTATACTTTATATTATAATACTTATTAATATGTAGTATAATATTCAAAATATTTTATTTTTCCATTTTCGTGATCTACCTTTTCCTTCCGAGCTAATAGTCGCGATTCCCGACGAATGACCTTGAAAGTTGCATGCGTTAGGCATCGCAGAACTCACGTAGGTGCGAAAATATGGTCTGTCGATCATAGTCAGAATAGGTATTTGACCTAAGTAACCTAATTAATATTTCGCAATGTATTTTGTTACTCTTTATTGACATCCCTCCATAACAACGTAAAGTCCACCGTAACGTAGGAAGAGGAAATGTGCAAAGTAATACGGACACTCTCGCGCAGCGATAAAGTTTTATTTAGCTTGCGAGCGCGATTTATCTAATTAATAATAATTATGTAGGCTATTAAACGTCGGCGAGCAGTCAACATTAAAAGAGTGAAACTTCTGTACGTAGGACTATTATTTATTCTGTGGTCTTAGGAATAATTTGTTTTATTATTAATCTATAATACTTTTTTATTGATTAAGTATCTTATATAAAAGGATTTCCTTGGTTTTTACTGAAATTTCTTGAATTATTTGTGCAATATCTAAGTACACACGACGGCATATTTTATTACGAGAATTTTTAAATCTACTTAGACTACTACAAGCGCCTAGCAAGTGACTAGAATGCAGTGTCGCCTCTAGTACGTAGTACATAATAGCTCAATGAGATTTTTGTAGTCTGTGAAACGAAATCTGCAAAACCCCTTTCTTTTTATTAAATTTATATTGGCATGGCTTCTGGGCTTTTAAGTCATTGTAAAACACGTTCCGTCTCCAAAAGTATTGAAAATGATAAACATGGTAATCTTACTTTTCTTCCTGGCTTTATTGGAAAATTTAATTATGCGATACGAAATAAGCAAAATAAAGGCAATTTCATAAAAATTTTTACATCACTAGATGCGTTAGAAAATTTTCAGGTCAAAATTTGACATTATTCTTTCTGCTACCAAATATGGTCTCGTGGATATGTCAGATACGATAGATGGATACGACAGGGGGAATTGAAGGAGGGAACAAACCACGAGATAGGTAGCAACATTTTCCTAATAACACTACGGTACTACGGTTGTCAAGCCGCTTGTCAAGCGTGGTAGCTGTGGTAAATATCCCCCGAATGAGACAATTTTTGGTAAGTTCTATGTTCAGCAGTGGACCTTAATAGGCTGTAATGAATGATGATGATGACGATACACTATTAAAATATTTCTTGATTTCTATTTTAGATTTCATTGATTTAATTATTTTTCGTTAAAATATATACGTACGATTGTTACAGTAGTTGAGGTTATCAGCGAGTATAGTGGGTCGGTTGTAGCTGTTGGCCTGGATCTCCACGTGGTAAATAGAAATGGTGCCGTTCGGCATTGCCGGCGGCATCCAGCTAATCTGCACAGAGTGAGCAGTGCGAAGCTCCACCGTCAGCCCCAACGGTGGGCTTGGGGCTGCAAAGTTAAAAATATTATTCAAAAAATGCAGTAGTTGTGATATTAACACAATTGTTTTAATGCTAAGATAAAACCGATTATAACCATTTTGTACATGTTTTGTAAAAATCTAAACGAGCGACGGGAAGTAACGTTAAAGGTTGAAGATGTGATATTGCAATCACCATAATGCTAGTCAAACATAACGAATTCTACCTTCTAGAGATTCTTATTAATTTAACTCGTCCAATTTTTCAAAAATGTAATTCATTGTTTTTGGCTGAAGTCCAAAAAATGGTTTTAAACCAAAACCGTGCACTGATGACATTAAAGTCCAAAATATTTATTTTGCTTGACTTGCTTAAAGCTCCTTTAGACGTTAAAATCATTCCTGGATATAGGCAAAAAAACAACAAGACAAGTGCGATAGTATTGTCTTGGATTCACTAAGCCGCCAACGCCAGTGTGGTAAGATGGGTTTTCTCTGTCTCTCTCTTTGTATTTTTGCATGCTTACTAACTAAATTTTAGGAACACAGCAGCTTTATGCTGCTATTTTACTATGGTATTCAGTAAGAACGTGGTCCATTTCTGGTCGAGTTGACACATTCGTGTTACAACTATAATATAGGTGCTGCGTGTAAAATTGCTTTATCACGTATAAAATCGGTATCAGCACTGTGCTCAAATTAGAGATATGTTATTTAAGTGTATTCTTAAAAATGTTAATATTCAGCAATTAATTCAAAACATTGATAATAAGATATATAAGTTGACGCTCACAATCGGGCAGGGTCTTGAAGTAGATGATGGGGCTCTGCGCGCCCTTCTTGTCCTGCAGCGTGGTGTATGTCTTGACGTAGGCGGCGTATCGCGTGAATGGCGTGAGCTGCGTGAGCGGGTAGAAGTGCGGCTGCAGATTGTCGCATGGGTTGACCAGCGCGTTCTTAGCGCTGGGCGTCGGTTTCGACACGTTGCTGCGCACGTCGTCCATCGTTATGTCCAGCACGTTCCACCTGCACTCACACAATAACGATCCACGTCTTAGTTACGTACGTATTAGTGATATTCGATCACCACGTCTTGTCGTTATCGATATCTTCTACTACAAAGAATTTAATATAGCAAGCTCATGTTCGAAGACACTTCTTCAGATGTATTTTAATATATTTATAATTATTTTGATTAACTGCTGAGTAGGAAATGATTATAATAAGTTAAATTTTCCAAAGTCCTACAACAACAACAATGTCGACTTTCCTAACATGCTTGGACTGACGAATATTTGTATTTCCCCAGCTTTTAAAAATAACCTGACGATATTCATTAATTACATGAACAATGATCTAATTTTTTCGGATAGTCTTATGTCGGTAACAATTTATGTTTTTTCCTAGTCCAAAATGGCCATTGTTCTTTTGACTGTCTTCTGTCTGTCGAATGTGGGTCGTGTGGTTCTTAAAACACAAGCGTTACAATCTAAGTAAAATATTTTTTATATTTTAAATGTGTACACAACAATTTATAGAGTAAATGTTTGTGTGTGAGTGTGTACCGTAAAGCGAAAATTACATTAGTCCGGCGTATACGTTTGAGATGTTTCACACGTATTAGTTTGATGTGCGTTATACACTGATTGTCTGTTGATCAAGTGAGGAAACTGATACTAGGCATGGCCTTTAAGACAAGACGTTTACATATTCAAATTTGCTTAAAGTCAGAATCTCAAAACAATTGAAAGTATGAGGATTACTGCTATATTTTAGTAACAGAGTCGTTTTCAAACTGTCATGTCACGTATGAAAATAAATCTTACTAAGGAAAATATCCGTGCAATAATTTTCTAGAACTTTCGAAGAAGTCTTAAACGGCTTCAGTGTTTCGAAGAGCTAACTTCTATGTTCCATGACGAAGCCCCATATCTGAGAACTGTCGATCGCTGGTATTTATAATTCCAGCGTGTATATACCAATCTTAGTGACAAATCTCGTGAAGGACGTCCAAAATCCGTCTTCACTGAAGATAACATTGTTGCTGTGAGAAAACTAATTCTGGAAGATCGTCATGTCACATATTGAGAGATAGACAGGGACAACCATCTTGCATGAAGCGCTTGTTGTGTAAAAACGAATTTGCCGTTGAATCCAGCATTTGCTTTCTGACGATCATAAGGCAACCCACGTCAGATACGATTCCGATTCTAAACAACAATCTACAATCTGAGTCTTCCAAGACGAGCCCAAGCCAACTAAAGTTGTTCGCTCTCGAAGCTGTCAAAGAAAATGGTGCCCACGTTTATTGCGAAAACCGGCCAGTTTCTATGCAAGTGCAATACTTGACGATGGTAGAACGGTTAATGCAAAGTGGTATACCATAGTTTGTACGTCGCGCCGGCCTAATGTTGTTAGTTCTAGACAGACAACAACCTTACAAACCTAACAACATTTGGCGGGCGCGACGTGAGCCACGATCGGGCCGCATTGGAGTTCATATATTTTATGTGGCGATGAGTTGTGTAGGACTATATTCGTATCAGACGCTATAAGTCATTCAGCGAGCACCGACTGGCGAGTTCAATTCCCGACGCGAAAATCAAAGATGATTACGAAGATAGAAAACAAAATACATGAAATAATGAGCTTCACATGCTTCTAAATGTTTTAGAGCTTAGTTTTTAAACGAGAGTTTGTCGTTATATATATATATATATATATATATATATATATATATATATATATATATATATATATATAATAGGAGAGGGGGAAAACGAGCATACGGCTCACCTGATGGTAAGTGATTACCGCCGTCCATGACCAACTGCAACACCAGGGTAATTGCAGATGCGTTGCAGGCCTTTTAAAAAGAAATAGGCTCTTTTCTTGAAGGTCCCTAAGTCGTATCGGTCCGGAAAAATATCTGGTGGTAGTTGGTTCCACAAGGAAAATAGCTTTCTTTTAAATTGCACAGTAGTGTATCGCCAGTCATCCAGATGGAATGGACGGTATAGCGAGTTTCGTCGCGATGTGCAATGGTGAAATTGTGCGGCTGTAATTAGTCCGAACAATTCCTCAGGGCACTACCCATCTCTTCCCAGTGCCAGTAGCAGTGGTATATGCGATAAAATACGCAAAGAGATGCAACATCTCTTCGCAGTGCTAGAGAGTCAAGCCGATCGGAAAGAGCTCGGTCGCCGACGATTCGAACTGCTCTGCGCTAGATGCGATCAAATGTAAGGAGCTGGCAATGGGGAGTCCCCACCCAGTGATGGGAACAGTATTCCATGTGCAGCCGAACCTACGCTATGTAAAGTTGCAGGCGGTGAGCCGGCATGAAATACTGTCCCGCTCTGCTGAGCACGCCAAGCTTTTAAGAGGCCAATTTGACCTTCTCTTCCAAATGACCACGACATTCATGTCATTCGATATGTCGACGCCGAGGATTACCATACTGGTGGAGGCAATAAGGGGAGCACCTTGAAACTGAGGAGATAACACGACTAAGGGGTTCTTTTTAGCGGTAAAAAAAGACCATATGCCAAAGCAAAGTTATAAACAGATCTACCCGCATGATCGGTTAAACGAGAACCAAGCCATTCAGCGTAGTGGGCGTTAAAATCACCAAGTATCACGATCTCTGCGGATGGGACCTGTTGTAGCACGGAGTCTGCAGCCATCTGGACGTGGTCGATCAGTCGGTCTGTGTCGGCATTACCGCTATGGGAGCTATAGAGGCACCCGTAGACGCAGGGATGGTCGTCGCTGTCTACGCGCAGCTATAAGATGGACAGGTCCGTACCCTCAAGGCTGCCGAGGCGTCGAAAACAGATGTCTTCTCTGACGTACACGCAAACTCCAGCCCGGGGCACAAAGGAGTGTTCAAATTTGTACCCCGGGTAGGAGAGATATGAAGTATCAGCCAGAGAGGACAACTGTGTCTCGGTTAGAAAAAGCAAGGTCGGCTTCGCCGTCTCCAGATGGTAGTTAACGGCGTTAAGGTATGAATGAAGTCCCTTGATGGTGCAGAAATTAACGGATAGCGTGGCAGGGGGGGGGGCGCCTTTGGCTTACTGCTTCGTTTGCCCCGAGCAAGTTTAGTCTTGGGCGGAATTTCACCCCCACCCCCAGAATACGAGGGACAGCCTGAGCACGCTCAGGAAGAGGTGGGGGAGTTTGGGCGTGGATGCTCAGCGATTCCTCCGTCATCGGGGGTGCTGGTACCTACCCTCCTGGGGTAGTGTTATATTTAACTCCGCTACCATGTTAAGGGGAGGGGGGGAGATTGCGCCTCCGGCCACCTGCACTCGCCAGACGAAATGCAGAAGCAAAGCTTCTAATTCACGTTGGTCTTCTCTGTGAGGTCGTGGTACCACCCCAGTTTCAACCGGCCCTTACGTACAACAACAAAGGCTGTTTGCACGTGTGGGCAACCTATATCTAACCAGTCTGTCTTCTATTTTATTTTTTGAAAATCTAAGATCAAATAAGACAATAATTGTAAACTCAGACTGCAGGCTACTTTGAACCTTGATATTTTAGAAACGAAGCTTAATTGCTAAAAATGTGAAAATTTTCTAACTTATTGGTGTAAATGAAATATAAAAACGAAGTACGCACGTGTCAGAGCAGGCATCTCGCTGTCCGTACAGCGTGACGTTGTGCTCGGCGGCAATATAGTAGATGGAGTAACCGAGCATCTTGCGTATGTCCTCCGAGCAGTACATGTCCCACGTCAAGATCACCGCGCGCCGACGTAGAGTGCTCACCTTCAGTTGCAGCACGTCTTGGAAACCTGCATTAAAATATTTCTAAATATGTACGGCTATTGCTTAATTTCTTTTGAGGAATTTTTTTTGCAATTGGTAAGATAGTAAAGTTAAGTAAGGACAGTGTACGATCATACATCTCTAATACTAGTCAGCCAAACTAATTAAACAATTAAACAATTTTACGTGGGAGAGCCACACTGCCGCTATATTATAGTTGTAGCACGAATGAGTCGGCTCGACCGGAGTAGGACCACGCTCGCACAGAATACCAGCGCAAAATAGCAGCGTAGTTTCGTATGGTGAATGTAAAGAATCGAAAACCCTTTTTATTGGAACCGAGGCATTTCATCTTAATCCTCAGGCATGACAACGCATTTGCATTTTGATTCTTAATTGAGGATAAATGTGGAAGTCTATGGGCCACAACATCCACTTACCATTAGGTGGACTGTGACTGTGGTGAACCAAATGCTATAAAAAAAATAGAATGATATCTCCCTGTTCCCGCACACCTCTGTAATGGAAATTGAAATGGAAGGACTTACAGAAGACTATCTTCTATGACTACTCGATAATAAAAAATCTCACATCAATTATATAATCTATTTAGGTGAAAGCCTACGTGATAAGTATCCTGTTTGACAAGCGCATCATACACAATCTCGTATACACCGTACACACAAATACTGCTGAGTGTATAACGACATACGAAAATATTATGTTACCCATTACGAAAACAAAGCACTACTACGCACGCTGTTCTGAGTGACAGCGCTTACGATGGCGCCATTATTGTCATGTTAATGTTCGGAAGATTTAATTAGGACTATAAGAGCCGATACCTTAGCTCTTTTTATTCTCAGCTGACTGCGCATCAATGAGTTTACATCAGATTTCGTATCAATTTCATTGTGTGGTGTTATAAGTCGGGAATGAAACTTGACTCGTTATTTAAGTATATTTTTATAATTCTAAACGCAAACAACCTACTTGATTATCGATAAAACTGTAATATTTTTATGTTACTAGAAAATATGGCTGTTTGACGTAGATATGGCGAACTTTAGTGGTTTTATCGGTGTCATTTATAATGTACCCATTTCGTAAAGTGATAAATAAATGAAAAAAATATGTTGCAAATATTTTTGCTAATTAAATTATTATATGTCTTAAGTTCTATATTAAAATCCGTTTACTAGTTTCCAACCCTGTAGCCTGTAGTGCTGACGTAAAATAATCCATCACACCATTTCGTCCAGTGCGTGTCGTAAGAGCAAAAATATCTTATCGACACCGAATACGATATGACCATCCAGTTGATACTAGATGTAAAATACCCAAAACTACGTAAGTTTCTGCGATCATCAATTTGCATCATGCCTAAATTACAGTCAAAATATAAAATAAATGAATTATCATAGCGTTAGGCAAATGTCAAGATAATGAATTTTTCAACTTCCAATAATACAATATTCTTGTAGAGAAAAGATATAATTTTTCAGAAATTCATTACTAAATACAAAACCTTTAGTACATACATGAAGCCTGATCGCCGTTGTTATCGATGGACACCTCGATCTGGTCGAACGTGGATATCGGGTCGCGCGTCATGTTCTTGAGCGGCAGGATCTGGTTGTAGCAGAGCTTCGGGTTGAAGTGGATAAAGAGTTTGCCGCGAACTATCTCGATCGTTTTATGTGTGGACCAGTCCCACAGCATCTCCAGGTTCGGGTTGTTGAATATGTACAGGCTCTGCATTCTGCAGCAACGTTTAATCATCACTTATAATATATAAAAGGGATTTTTTAAGAATTATTGCTTACGCTTATAATGAATTATTAACTTTTGTTTTTGAATTTGAAAATGTTTTATGCGATGAGATAAGTAATGTTTACGATAATATTGAGCAAGAAATGAACAATGTTGAAATGTCAAGTTACAACATGTATATTGAACACAGTGGCTTAAACATGTATCTCTTTTTTCACTGCTTGCTTTTAATTAAGCATACTTGTCTAATTTGTATATTTTATCCATAACTCAATTGGTTTTTTCTCGTGTGTTTATGATGTATGCATTTATACGTATAACGGTATAACCCGTGCGACTTAACAGCGGGCTTCACGCTGTGACGTAATCGTGATGGTACTGTTTGCAAAAAAGTTTATTTCTTTAAAATTATTATAATGCTCTAAAATGAATTTATAAATTTTTGTTTTTCCAAAATAAAAAATTTCAGAATAATAAACAAATGAGTGAATTACTAGAATTAGTTGGAAGAGATTAATATAAACAAACTTATTATATAAAAAAATTATTATATTCAATCATCGTCACTACTATTATAGTCAATTTCTTCAATTCTCGACATGGTGTCTGATTCGTCTTCAGAGCTGATTTCTTCACCCCCAAGAGATATTATTAATTCGCATCGTTCAATTTCTGGTAGATTGTCCATCTCCCAATACTCTTTTTCCAGTCTTTCAACATAGTAACAATAACAATAATTAACAAACTTAATTTAATTAATAAATAAAAAACACAATAACAAAAACTCAACAGAAATATTATCGATTGATTCAAAACAGAGACGCGTGCAACGGTAACAAGTATGCTATCGGTACTGACCGCGTGAGGGCGAGCAAGGGGTGCCGTGGGGTATGCAGGAGATGGGTCACATTAGCGAAGTCCGCAGAAGTCGCACGGGTAGTACATACGAGTAAAGCCGGATTTAGAGCTGGACCGACCGTCGGTGCGTACGACGGTCGCACTTGCCATTTGTATGAAAAGTCACAAGTCGTTACAGTGCTCGACCGACCGTACGCACGCGTATATTGCTACGCACTGCGTACGAGAATCGTCGGTGTGATGATGTTGTCGTGTGATGGTCGGTGTCGGTATTAAATAATGTTAGTGATTTAATTATTTTTTATCAAAATGGCATATGTCGACACCGAACGCCTAATTACCGAAGTCCGTCTTCGAGAACTTCTGTGGGACAAAGGTCACGTGTTATACAAAGATCGTGATGTCAAGTTAAAGGACTGGAAAGAAGTTTGTACAGCTTTGTTTCCGAATTTCTATGGGTCTACATGATATCTATGTCTTCTGTTCTTTATACGTTTACGTACATAGTACTAAGCAGCAACTAAACAATTTGTAAACGCGTCCATTTCGTGTACGTGTTTGTGACTGTACTAGTCGGCCAGTTTAGTTGCTCAGGAGAGCACTGAACGCTACAAACTGACGATCGCTTATGCGTATCGTCAGGACCGATGGTACGCACCGACGGTCGGTTGAGCTCTAAAACCGGTCTAATAAATGTATATCCTCATAAACATATGTGTAACATACATAAACTCTTGCGCCATAAGTGTAGGCGTCTACAGACTTATATTTGACACGATACTGACTCACCTCTCTCGTTTCATTCATGCGTTTATATTGTTTACATATATTTTATGTCTTTTTATTATAATAATTTTCATAATATTCGAAAGTACACACCACAGTCAGCGCCGAAGTGCTCTGACACCAATTATTAAATTAAAAAAAGCATGTAATTGTGAAAAAAATTATACTATTACATGAAAATATATATATACCCGTTTTGTTTGTTGTTAGTTCTTCCCGGGACAAAAGTATTTTCCAATCCAGAGAAAAAATATTACACTTTTAGTAAATACTAATTACTTTTAATAATTACTTAATAATATATTATGAAATATTTTTTCTATTCTAATTATTTTAAATCAATTGTAATAAATGTAGGTAAACAAAACAGTGTAAATGGGCGACATTACAGACTCACTTATTATCGTTGGTGTGGCCGCCGATGCGGCGCAGGTTCTTGAGGAACATGAGCGACACGAGCGGGTACGAGCGCGTTATCTTCAGGCTGCCGTCAATCTCGCGGATTTCACCCAGAGATGCTTCCAGAATCGCCATTGTATTCCCTGTATACGGAAGTTATTTTTTATTTGTATCCCTAACCTTTTATCCTAAAATGAAAAGTTTTTTTCGCATTACTCGTATTAGGTATGAAAATGACTTGAAATTAAAACAGATAAGAAACATAAAATACTTTTTGGGAAAGAATACCACTGCTATAAGAAAAATAATTGTTAAACTAAGTGTTCGATGTTGTTCTCATCAACCAGGTAAGCCAAGAAGTACTCGTAATCTGTACGCTAAACGTTTTAAAGTCGCTTCATTTCATATTTTCTCAAAATGTAGTTTAACAGATAATAACATACTGCCCAATAAATTATAATAATGTTAACGTTTCGGTAATGGTAACATTATGTGTAAAATGCAAAACCGTATGTCGTATTTTAGAATGAGCACTTTATCATTTTCTGTTTGTTTCTATATATGAAAATGATAAAAAATGAAGTGATCCAAGTGGACGGATGGGTCGGGACCGGGGAAAAGGATCACACTTTCACGGAATAGCACTGTGAAATAGCAGCTTAATGATGCTGTTTCGTATGGTAAGTGTAGGCAAACGAAGATTTTTCTACAAATGAGCCATTCCATTTTATTCATTACGGGCATCTATCACTAATAAAGATAACTAATAAAAAAGTTTTTATTAGTGATCGATGATTACGGGGGACAACGCATCTGCATTTTGACTTTTAATCGAGGACGGTTGTAAATGTCTAGGTGCCACAGCATGCATTTACCTTGTGACTGTGTGCTTGTTTATCGCCCTTAGTTTTTAATAAAAAAATTCATTGTATTAATATATTATAGTGATAATAGATAGTGAAGAAAGATTTTCGAGTGGTAGCTTTGTATTGACAAGCGCAATGCTGGGTGACCTTCCACTGCATATGGAGTAACGACCTGATAAAACAAGCAGGCAGTCAGGTCGTTCTGGACAGCACTTAGAACGCCCGCCTGCACAGTAGAGTACGGGAGTGCTTACCAGCGCTGGCGCGGAGCGAGATCTCGAGCGAGCCCTTGAGGTGCGTGCAGCCGCGGAAGTGCTCGGCCGCCGCCACCGAGTCGACGCGGCCGCCGCCGCACTCGCGCACGCAGCCCGCCGGCCGGCACGGCCGGCACATGCCGTCGCGCGCGCCGCCCACCTGCACAGTGCAGCGCGCCGCTCTACACCACACGCACACACACTGCCAATCCAACTGGCTCGCCTGCCCCCTGGCTCTTCTATTGCCGCACCAAACAACTATTCGTATGCCTCATAAAGTAATAATGGCCATCCATAATTTGTTCGCTGTAGCTTAGCTATATTGTGTTTGTAGCAGCACGAATGGGTCGGCTCAACCGGAGAAGGACCACGCTCTCACAGAATACCAGCGTAAAATAGCAGCTTAATACTGTTGTGTTTCGAAATCGTTGTGTTGAGTGTAGAGATCCGAAGACCCTTTTTTACTGGTTACGAGGCATTCCGTCTTAGTCCTCAGGCGTGACAACGCACCTGCGTTTTGATTCTTAATCGAGGATAAATGTAGACGTCTATGGGCCACAGCATCCACTCACCATCAGGTGGACTGTGTGCTCGTTTGTCACCCTTATTCTATATAATCTAAACTTATACTAGAAACCAAAAAGCTTTTATTTAAAACGTAACTTTTCACTTATAGACCGAGAGCTGACTAGGTACATAAAAATATTCGCATCAGATGCACGGTTGATTTATATTAAAAAAGAGTCCTTTGGTATAGCCGAACATAAATTTACATGTCTGCCATCGCAAAACTGGAGCATGAAGCGAGATGCGATTAAACATGACAAATTTAGAGGCGAAAAATTGTATAAGGTAAACAAATTACAATTACGGAAAAAACTTCTCTGTCTACCATTTTGTAAATTGCTTTCTTAATGTTTAAATTATAAACCAAAATAATTTAAATTCATTTTTTTTCATTGGCCCTAGCGAACTGTCTTCCAATATTTTTTCTCGTTTCTTCAATATAAATAAAAGAATTTTCCGTAATTAGTATCCGTGTACCTTATAAAAATTTTCGCCCTCAATTTGTCATGTTTAACCGCACGCTCCCGCTTTATGTACCAGCTCGCGATAGCAGACAGACCAAAGGTTTCTTTTTTAATACAAATGAACCGTGTACTTGATGGGTATATATTTTATGTAGCCAGCTGTTAAAACATTATAGTGACACCGTGTTGTTACAAATACCTTAGCCTCAGTCCAAACCATCTGATGAGCTGCAAATTATTAGCAGTCACTTTTGTACATTCTTAGACGGTGTTTGATAAAAAGGTGCCAAATCAGCAATGAATGGGCCGATAGAATAGGGTTAAATTTAGCCTAGTTATAAATAAAACCTACGTTTCTTTTTTAGAAATACTAAATAAACAAATTAATATACATCCCAGATTACATATGAACTTTGATTGCGAATAGTTGTTATTATTTGTTTGCTATTTATTCTTTTTGAATTATACTCCAGATTATATAAATACAAGACAAAACATTTAAACGATTGCCGACAAGCTAAAGCACGATCTTCCTGGCACTAAAGTTTGCTTACTAGCTACTTATGCTGCTTATCGTACTGTTACTTCTTTAGAAATACTAAATAAACAAATTAATATACATCCCAGATTATATAAATACAAGACAAAACATTTAAACGATTGCCGACAAGCTAAAGCACGATCTTCCTGGCACTAAAGTTTGCTTACTCGCTACTTATGCTGCTTACTCGCTACTCGTTACTTCTTTTTTAGAAATACTAAATAAACAAATTAATATACATCCCAGATGATATAAATACAAGATAAAACATTTAAACGATTGCCGACAAGCTAAAGCATGATCTTCCTGGCACTAAGTTTGCTTACTCGCCTTCCAAATCCTCCAAATTTTCAAAAAAAATTGTATCTAGCTGTGAATTTTTATAGGCTATCAATGTTTTAACAAGTGATCTGTATACAATGTAAGAAAGTTAATGTGTATAAATGGGCAACCTCCATGTATCCGCTAGGACACATGTAGACGCAGGTGTTGTTGAGGATCTTGTAGGCGCGGATGTTGGGCGCGGGCTGGCTGGACTCGGCGGGCTGCGGCGGCGGCATGGCGCGGCACTCCTGCTCCGTCACGCAGCGCCGCGACAGCTGCACAACCATTAAACATTACACGCACATCTTTAGCTATGGAAGCATACGGCTCACCAAGGAATTGCAGGTGTGTTGCTAGGCTTTTAGAATGGAGTATACTATCCTTGAAGTTCCATAAGTCATGTCGGTCCGTAAAAACCGCTGGCGACAGTAAATTCCATAGTGTGTCATGCGAGAACCCCGAAAAATCTTACCTCGATATTTCTCCTTTTAACTAATTACAAAAAGTAGGTACTTTGTAATTTTACTTCGAATGTTTGCTTCTTCGAAACCAGTGCTTGTAAATCAGGGAGGGTAAAGATGATAAAGTGACTGATTTTTAAGTATTGTAGTGTAAGGAATAAATATATTTTTATATATTACATTTTTTTGGAAACGAGACACCCCTAGTATATTACGAGTATGTTATTTTATTGCACTGATTATTTATCAAATTAGTTATACTACTTCCGGAAGAATGTTGTGGTCACAGTACAAATCCACGAACGCAAAGACTTTAACATGCTTGAAATAAAGTTCATTTTCCTTTATTTTTATTTAATGACAGAATTAGTAACAATACAAATAAAACTGCACTCTTAAAAGTCTTATTGCCTTAAGTTACGGTCCATTTCAGTTTGTTTTGACTAGAGATTTAGTGTGACTGTAATTTACGTAGTTTTAATTATTTTTGGGATAAAAAATTACCTATATTAAAAATGATAGGAATCGATTCAGTAAACGATTCTGAACAAATATATATATATATATATATATATATATAGGTATATATATATAGGGTGTTAGTGTAAACATCCTATGTTTTTGTTTCTTTACCTTTCCTAAGCCAGGATGAAAGAATGAAGGAAAAGTTAGGTGTACCTATTGTGTTTTTATTGGAATGTTGTGTAGGTAGTTAGCGCGAGCGGTGATCTTTACAGTGATTACGTCACTCGGGCGCATAGGGTATCCATGAATTTACGGACGGTGTCGGACAGAAACTTTTTAAATTTTATGAAAGAAAATAGCGTTTTTTTTAATTCATTAAATTTACGTTCTATAAGTGAAACCAAACCACTGGTTTCAAGGATAACGGTGTTTACACTAACAGCCATATATATATATATATATATATATATATATATATATATATATATATATATATATATATAGATCTCTTTACGGTAAATGTTGATCAGACGCGACTTCACGCGAGCACTTTGTTGATCCGAAAACGCATGTTGATCCGGCGCCTTTTGTTGATCCAATATGTATCTCTGGTAACTAATGTGGCTCCGACCGGATCAACATCTGCACTCACGAGACTGTTTGCTAGCGTTGGCCGAAGTTGATCCGATATACAAATCCACCTTGCGATGGTTACGGAAAATGTTGATCCGATTTAAATGAGCCAATCAGAGCACAGCAAACGATAAGATAAACGATCGGATTGGCCGAATGCAGCCGCGACGTTGCCGTTTCGTATCTTTGGCGGTACAATCTACAGATTAAATGCGTGTTATGTAATGCATTCTGGGTGCTGTTTGGTCTACCTCGTTATTGTAATGCGCCGGGTATGTTCGCGGATGCGCGTGTGGATTGTTTCTAGACCACCATGGGTAAACGATGCACATCCCTGGTGCGCAGGGTGGGGGCCAGTTCCAATGGTATCCTGAGGGCATTTTCTGACAGGTTTGAGGTCAGTACCTGAACCATTGTCATATGGTGCACGCGCTGACAAATCGGACCTGTCTTATATATAGTTTTAAAATTAGGTAAATAGTTTTAAGTTTTACGAAAATTAGTTTTAAGATTTGTATTATTACTAACATCTATGATCCTTGTGGTCGAAATTAACGACTTTTTTTAACGAATTACTCGGCAACGCCCCTTCTTGTAGCGGAAGTGGTGGCAACGGCGACATAAGGTATTCGTCTGAGTGCATGTTTGCGTGCGTGCGTGCGTGTGTGTGTGTGTGTCTGTGTGTGTGCGCGCGCGCGTGTGTGTGTGTGTGTGTGTGTGTGTGTGTTTGTGTGTGTGTGCGTGTGTGTATGTGTGTGTGTGTGTGTGTGTGTGTGTTTGTGTGCGTATGTGTGCGTGTGCGTATGTGTACGTGTGTGTACGTGTGTGTGTGTGTGTGTGTGTGTGTGTGTGTGTGTGTGTGTGTGTGTGTGTGTGTGTGTGTGTGTTTACCATAAACCAGTTAACTTGTTTTCTACATCTTCATAATCAAGATTTTTAAGGACGCTTTTACAAAATTGATAGGTATAGAATCGAACTATTACATAAGATATTATCATGAGACCTTACCTCCGGTCTTGATGGAGTGACCTGAAAATGTAATTCGGGATTACTAGTGGAACTCCTGGACTAGTAGAACTGGGTGTGCTGAGTTTGGGCTCGTTTTGTTAGTTATGATGAGTCCTTACCTCCGGACTTGCTGAAGTGACCTGAAGGTGTACTTCGGTAACTAACACTGTAACACCTGGACTAGTAGAACTAGGTATGCCGAGTTTGGGTTTGTTTTGTTAGTTATGATGAAACCGTCACAAAACAAAAGTTCTTTTCACTTTGTCTCTAGTACCAATAAGTATCCAAGCTGATATTCGGAAAAATGAATAACCTCGTAGTAACATCTTTAGGGGCAGTATCGATATCCACTTACCAGCCACACTGTTTTTCGCTGTAACCAACTGTCCTTTATATGAGCCTCACTTGCCCTCACGCGGTACCCACTTTACTGCACTCCAGTGCACCCACCACCACCTCTGCCACCTATACCTTCACATCAACCACCGCACCCCTCTAAGCCTTCGTTCTCCACCTCCGCTACCTCCGCCTCCACCATAAACTCTGCTACATACGCCTCAACAATAAACTCCGCTCCCTCCGCCGCCACAACCACGCGCCGTCACTATTCTTTCCGCCTCCAACACAATTCTCCGTTTCCACTATCTCCGACTTCACCACAAATTCCTCTCCTCCGCCTTCGCCACATACTACGCTGCATTCACCTGACACACCTACACACACACACACACACACACACACACACACACACGCACACCTACACACACACACACACACACACACACACACACACAAACACAGACCACAAACACACACACACACACACACACACACAAACACACGCGCGCGCGCACGCTCACATATACACATACGCGTGCGCTCGCACACGCACACACACACACACACCCCGCACATACACTCACACACACGCGCGCGCACGAACGAACACACATACACGCATAAGCACATACACAAACACAAAACAACAGTGGACACACGCACGCACACACACAAAACACAAAAGCAAACACACACACGACCGCACACACACATACACACACACGCGCGCGCGGGCGCGCACATACTAACACACACACGCACACGTACTAAAAACACACTCGCACACATACACTCACACACACGCGCACGCACATGCGTTCACACGAACACACATGAACGCACATACACCCACACGCACGCGCACACACAAACTCGCATAACACACACACACACACACACACACACACACACACACACACACACACACACACACACACACACACTCGAGTGACAAATTAATTTGTAATAAAGTACTATCCATCATCTTCTAAGTGATCTATGACATAAATAAAATAACACAAATTCACTCACACGATAACAAAAACTCGAACAAACGTCTTTCCACAATAAAACCTGCCAAAGTTTGATCCACAAAATCAGCAGATAACGTATTTTCTTACCTTATTACTATAACGAAGTAGCCTACTGGGTTCTCTGTAACACACAGAACGCGACGTTGCCGCTTCGTGTTCGAGTACCTATTCGTCAATTATGGCTCCGGATCCACTTAGTCTAAGTAAATGTCGCATATAAATTAAATATACTCTGGATCTAAAAAATCATATTCAGTATGATTTTTTCGACCGTTGGTAGATCAACAAATGTTGGTCAAATCGCTGACGAGTATATTGAAATCCTGTTAGTGCAGATCCACCGACGTCACAAGCGCATCAAGAATGGATCAAAGTATATCAGTTTGTGCGACGAGGAGCTGAGCAAACACGTCAAATAGGTGGATCAACAATTGTTCTAACTTCTCACTGGATCAACATTTACTGTGAAAGGATGATTATATATATATATATATATATATATATATATATATATATATATATATATATTTGAGTTGCTTGGTCTTTTGCAAATATATTATTACTCCATGTATCTGTAAACTGCTTTTTGAAGTGAAGTGAATAAGGATGATGATGCGCAGTGACTCACCCGGTACGTGTTGGCGGGGCAGGAGGAGACGCAGGTGCGGTTCTCGCCGTAGCCGAGCGAGTAGTTGGCGCAGACGTGGCAGTCACGCGCGAGCGGGCCTTCGCAGCCGCCCAGGCACGTCGCGTTGCAGCACGTGCCGTTGCGCGTACACGCGCGCCCGCCACACGCACTCGGGCACACTGTCACCGACACTCACGTCAATTTTATTACCTAGCCAACGAGTTAGCGAAACTCGTTCACAAATACTTGCCTTGTGGCACATTCTGTATTATGCTTAGGAGTACAATTAAAGTCTGATACCTACGTAAAGCGAAGTCGTGGTAGCTCAGATGGTTAACGCTCGCTGTAAATATAACAGAACGCGAGTAACCCGGGTTCGATCCCCGCCGGCACCAATGAAAATGTTAATTGCAATTTTAAGTGCTGATTTTACCACGAGCTCGGCGGTGAAGGAAAACATCGTGAGAAAACCTGCATGTCTGAGGAATAAGAAAAAAATATATTTCGAAGACATGTGATGTTCGCGCGGCGGACACTTTTTTTCCCTAAAACCCTCTCAAAAATGAGGGGAGGCCTGTGCCCAGCAGTGCGACGTATATAGGCTGTAACTTTACTTTACTTTACCTACGTAAAGATAAACAAGGAATTTTAGCGGGGGAAGAGACGTAATTTTTATCATACATTATCAAAGTAGTTCTTTCTCCTTATGATAAGTGGCTGTAGTTGCTTAGGTACATCTTTACCTAAATTCTTGTTATAGAGAAGACTACAGACTCATATCCCCCAGAGAATACAGAAAAGAAGTTAGGAAGGTCATTATTCACCGTTTGTAAGGGGTACGAGAACCGATATAGTCAGTCCCAACCTCACTTTTCACTACCACTCATTTAAAATCCAGATAATACGTACCATCTTACGCAAGCACATACAACCGGCCGTGTTCCGATATACACTACTAGCACTACTGCTATCACTTTTGAAAAATTCGTTCCGTTATGGAATGTCAATATACGACCGCAGTAATTTGGGCAGCAAATATGACGTCATAAATCGCCGCCATTTTTGTACTGTGAGTACTGGCACTTGTGAGGTAAGGTGCTCTCAGTACTTTGATCACGTTATCAACAATTTCCACAAATGATTGTTATTACTATTGATTAATATTGTTATTCAAATAAACTAGGACAAAAGGATGGTTAAAACCTCATTTTATTCACTTTAATTATAGACACATACACTAATTATATTTGTTTGTAGGTTGTATTGAAGCCGAAACGCAAAGCATCGTCATATGTCTACAGAGATAATATAACACCAGTACCCAGTAGTTCTACTGTAAATGTTTCTGTTACTAGACAATTCCCCAAGAAAGAAAAAAATGAAGAAATCTATTGATATTCTTCGGAAACGCCTAGATATGAAACAAAAACAATGTATGAATAAATGCTGTAATGGTGTCTAGTTCAAACGATTTGTTGCAGCATCTCCTCGAAAGGGTGATTAAGAAAAAACAAAATAAAAAATAAACAAGATTATGATACGCAACTAAAGACATTTACCCTTACTTTACGAATATAGCCCTAGGGCTTACAATTACGTGAGAACAAAATTTGACCTGTGTCTACCACATCCTCGAACACTAGGAGTCTGGTACCAAAATGTAGGCTATAAACCCTGCATCACTAAGGAAGTCGTAGAAATCATAAATGCTATAAGAAAAGAAAAAATACAATAACGACGCTAAACGATAATGTGGCAATTGACCTCGGCCAAATCGATAACGAAGATTCTGATTACGTATAATCTATGCTATGGATTCCTGAAAGCATGGAATCTGTAGTTAATTCCATTGTTCTGTGCATATGTGGTTGCATAGGTATTCAATCAATCCAGGTTCGATAAGTATGGCATAGTAAGTTTTTTTTTATTTGATATGAATAGGATGTTTTGGAGGGGGAGAAAGTGTCAGTGTGATTAATTATTAGTGTTTTTGACTTTAATAGTGTAGAGTGAATAAAGTGTTATTTAGGTTTTTAAGTGTGTACATTTTTTTGCATTTTCCATGTTAACTGGCTAGTCCATTCACTAATCCACTCAATATTGCACCTAATATTATTGGTAAGAAAGCCCCTACTTTTTGTATAATTATATTTTTTCTTAGTTTGTGTTTACACTTACGCACTAGTTTACGGAGTATATTTTTGTGTTTATTCAATTTTTGTTTATCTTGATCTTTAAGAGGTACTTTTCCTTGTAAAACGGACTCACAAATACAGTTAATTTCTTCTTCATCACACGTTTTATCTTGATATTTTGGTTTAAGCGTATGCAAAGCGTTTAGTAAATGTTTATGCGTTGTGAGTCGACGATGCATCATTAAGCAATGATTTGAAATTGTTTGATTCTTGGTGTATTTAAACTCTTTTGTGGGGACGTAACTGTACAGAAACCATTAAATGGGAAGACATTTGTCTTGATACGACAAAAATCATTGGTATTCTGTTTTAAATCTACCATTAAATATCCATGCGCTTCTAGAGTTGCATCACTGTAGGCATCTTCAATGAATTTTGGGTTATCTGGTGACACTTGTCGTGCTAAATATCTTATTTGAGTTTTATCTCGAGGGTTTTAAAAATATATTATATAACTTGAATTTAAAGATATGTCTCTTTGCCCTTTACCCTGATGAAATAAATTTTTTGTTAAATAAAATACACTAAGATTCCTGTGATGACTACCTGTCTATGATGTCCTGTTTTGTAAATATATCCACAATTCTTCCATCGGACTCTCTAATTAGATCATCAATAATAACAAGATGTGGGTTTTCACCATCAAGCATATTAAGATTTGGAATTCCTTGATGATAGTTCACATTTGGTAAATTATATAAAGGTTGCATTTCATCAAAGCACCATGTGATCTGATTAAAATCACAATTATATATTTCTGTAAATGATTTTATGAAATTTGTTACAAAATTTGACTTCCCACATCCACTTGGTCCTGCCACAATAACAGTAAACGGATGTATAAAGTGAAACATTACACACGTCTAAAGTTCTAAGGGGTGAAATAAAAAATGAAAGTGTTGGTGTAAACAATTAATATATATTGTGTACTATAACTAATGTTTTTGGGAAATCAAACAAAACTTATGATTAATTTAAGATTTTATTTTCAAGCAATAACCACTTGTAAAAAACCCACACTTCATCACAAGAACAATGTCAAATTTTCTGATTATTTTTTACAAATATATGATTATTACACATATATTTATTTACACATATATAAAATATTTCGAAGACATGTGAAGTTCGCCAACACGCACTGAGGCAGCGCGGCGGACACTTCCTTGCCCTAAAACCCCCTCAGAAATGAGGGGAGGCCTGTGCCCAGCAGTGGGACGTATATAGGCTGTAACTTTACTTTTTTTTTACATACATAACGTTTGTTTAAATTTATGACATTTACCAAATCATTGTATTTTGGACATTTGTATTCTTCAATATTAAAAATTCTATCATTCGTCGTCAACATTTTTAAAAATTGTTTTTCTGCTGAACCACCTTTGTATGCGATCACTTCGTCTTTGCACAAATTTCTAATATACCAATTTAATATGGGGAATGATGTTCTCTTGTTTGTAGGCACATTTTAATTCTTCGGTCACGTCAAAATATGGAATGCCGTGCACGTGTGTTTCGCAATAACGAACAGTTTTTTGTCTTTTGGTGACAAATAATTGAAAGGATAACTTGGCCGAAACAAATAATGATCGATAAACGCATAATTTTTATTAGATAGTTTTATGTCCAGAATAGCCATTTCTCTACATTGAAAATGTTTATGAGGTGTATGTATATATATAAGGTTTATGATGTATGTATGTATATAAGGTTTATATATGTAATGTAACATCCGTCCATGTCGATGATGTATCTAATATTTTTTATATTTTGTGTCATTTTGAACCAAAAAGTTGAAAGTATTTACACGTGACTAAAAATACGAGGGGTGATCCAAAAGTAATGATAATCGTTTACTTCAAGTCCGCATAAAAATCCAAAAAAAAATATTTTTTGCTTGCTTATATACTCACTATGTCAGCCTAAAAAAATCATATGAATAGATCACGATTTCCGGGAGATACATTCATTTGAATACGAACTGTCAAAGAGATAACATCAACATGGAGAAAAACGAAATTACAGCTGTCATCAAGTACCTCTGTTTGAAAAAAATGTCTTCAAAAGGCATACACAGTGACTTAGTGGAAACATTGGGGGACTCTGCTCCTCCGTATTCTACAGTTGCACGCTGGGCCAAAGAGTTTAAACTGGGCAGAACATCCAATGAAGATGAACATCGCGAAGGACGCCCATCCACGTCCCTCACTAAAGACAACGTGAAAAAAGTCGAAGATATTGTGTTGGCAGATCGAAGAGTGACCATCAGGCATGTAGCTGAGGTCACAGGGAACTGATATAGCAGCGTTCAAAGAATCCTTGCGAACGAGTTACAAATGAAAAAGGTCTCTGCGCGTTGGGTACCCAGAATGTTAACCGACGAACAAAAGAAAAATCGAGTTGACATTTCGAGGGTCAATCTCGAAAAGTTCCAAGCAGATCAAGAAAATTTTTTGTTCCGTTTTGTGACTATGGACGAGACCTGGATCCACCATTTTGATCCTGAAACGAAACAACAATCGATGACTTGGAAGCGAGCCTCCTCACCGACGCCAAAGAAATTCAAAGTTTCAAGTTCGGCGGGAAAGGTTATGGCATCTGTTTTTTGGGACGCTCAAGTCATAATTATGGTGGAATATTTGGAAAAGGGAGCCACTATTACGGGCTCTTACTACGCAGACCAAATAAGAAGATTACGGGAGGCTATTAAGGAAAAAAGACGCGGCAAACTGCGAGCTGGAGTGCTGTTTTACCAAGACAACGCCATTCAAGAAATGGGATTCGAACTGCTCGAACACCCTCCCTATTCGCTAGATCTAGCTCCTAGTGACTTTTACCTCTTTCCTCGGCTCAAGGAACGCCTCCGAGGCAAGAAATTCGAAGACGATAGCGAAGTAATGGCCGCTGTTGAAGCGTTTTGGGAGGTTCAAGACAAAGAATTTTTTTCAAAGAGAATCCTGGGTTTAGAAAAAAGATGAACTTAATTTATTGATTTGTTAGGAGACTATGTAGAAAAATAAATTATTATTTCAACTTTAATTACCGTGTTTTATTTTCATTATCATTACTTTTGGATCACCCCTCGTATGTTTGTTCCAACAAACTTCACATAACAATGCTTCATTACTTCCCATCATCCCATCTCTTCCCTCTGCTCTTGTCTTCCTGTAATTTAAGTAAACAGAATCACATTCACTAATGATCAACTAATGACTGTCATTGTTAAAAAAGTATTTTTTAACTTTTTCACTTTCTGCTATTGTCTTTGTATTTAGGGCTAGGAAATGTCCGCCGCGCTGCGTCAATGCGTGTTGGCGAACTTCACATGCCTTCGAAATTTTCTCATACATGCAGGTTTCCTCACGATGTTTTCCTTCACCGCCGAGCACATGGTAAATGAACACTTAAATTGCAATTAACAATTTAATGGTGCCGGCGGGGATCGAACCCGGGTCGCGTACTGTGAAATTTACAGCTTGCGCTAACCACCTGAGCTACCACGGTTTAATCATATACACACAATATTTAAATATAATTTGTTAACACCAAATCATACACACGTAAGAAAATAACAGAAAGAAAAATAAGTTTGTCAATAGAATAAACACTTACATCCATGGCCTTTGATGCGTTGAAGTAACACGAATGTAGTATTTATAGATCCACTGCGGTCAAACCACCATACACTAACTCCATGACTGCAGCGCCCTGGTTTTATATAGCACCAGTAAGTAATAATTCTAATCTAAAGAATTTCTGCAGTGGAACTGATTGTAACTTTATGCGTCAACAAACTTATCTCACATTCTGTTTAACTTAACATTGCTTCGTGTTGCGTCTCGTTCGATGTATCGATGACTCAAATACTATTTGTATAACACAAAAGAATGCAATTTAATATTTAGAAATCACTATAATTGATCATTCCTATGTTAGTCATTGAGTAGATTGGTACTGTAATAATCTACTAATATCAGTAATTATCATGGATACACTAGATGTACAACAACATCTGAAAAAGATTCACCCCAGTCTAGAAAATAATGTTTATGCTGCTAATAGACTGCCCACGTATCAACGTATACATAACATATACATAAACACTCACGCTGTCACCCAGAGGGGTAGGCAGAGACTACGGACTTCCATTTGGCACGATCCTGACATACCTCTTTCGCCTCCTTTACATCCATATATCTACGCATACATGCTCGTCGGTTAAGGGTACTTCTAACGTGGCCCCTTTTCAAAATATCGCCAATTTGGTCGATAAACTTTTTTCTAGGGCGTCCATTCCCGACTCGGCCGTTCACATCTGCCATATAAATTTGCTTTGTCACTCTTTCCTCATTCATTCTTTCTACATGACCAAACCACCGAAGCATTCCTTTCTTAATATTTCATACCACATTTATCTCTTATCACGCAATTTCTCACCCTGTCATTCAGATTCAACCCTAGCATACTCCTTAAAGACCGCATTTCTACAGCATTTATTCTACTTTCGTGCTTCTTCTGCCACACCCAGCTTTCACTACCATACATTAAAGTAGGGACTAACACAGCATTATGAATTACCATACGTGCCTTTTTTGACACATTCTGGTTCTTCATAATAGAGTGTAGTGCCCCATTCACTCTATTCCCTGTATCAACGTATATAATATACAATTTGGATACAGATGATAAACCAGGGTCACATTGGGTAGCTTTATATATCGATACGAATGACGTCGGTCAATATTTTGATTCATATGGATGATCACCTGTACGATATCATCCAGAGTTTTTAAAAAGGAATTGTAAAAGATGGAACAGGAATTTTGATAGGATTCAGAATGAGTGGACTTCAGTTTGTGGCGAATATTGCTTAATGTATTTGCTATATAAGTTTCAGGGATGTTCAATGCATAGTTTTACGAGTATATTTACAGGGAACACATTGTACAATGATATTTTAGTGGATGAGATGTTTCGCTCCTATTTTATAGGTAATAAGTAATAAGATTTTGTATTTTGTAAATAAAAATTGTAACAAAATTTTAGGTAATGTGTTTTATTGATGATTCAGATTAGCGTTGTAGATAGGAACAAAGAATTATAATACCAATAGCGCTGATAAGCCGACGCACACGCCGAGGAAGTATAGACAATGACAATAGATAAGAACAATGGGACGCTAATGACGGTGGAGGCCCTCACCAGATATCAATTAGATATTAGTTAATTGATCTGCACGTGCATCCTACGCAAAAACGGAACGCAGATTCGTGATCAGAGCATGCCAAAACCTTTTTTTTTAGGATCGTGAGTCGACGAACGTTGTACCACTTCTAACTCAGTGAGCCAGAACTGGTACAACGTAACTACTCAGGATTATAGTGCCCAAGTGTATGCGCAAGCATAGGTGCACTCTCTATTCCCTCACTCTCACAATCCGATGGGATGGTAAACGATACGACCGGAGAGAGATCAGGCGCAGGACCAACAGCTTTACGTACTTTCCGAGGCTCGGGGTTGTGACACCACCAACTTCTTAACTCCGGGGCAGTTACTGAGAATTTCTTGACGGAAAAACTCAAAAAATAATGTTTTGGCCCGACTCGGGATTCGAACCCAGGACCTCATGATCAGTAGTCACACTAGTACATCTATCACACTTCCTTAGAAAACCCCTTAAAAATTACGTACAATTTACATTGTTCTAAAACTTACACTTTTGACAGTGCTTGTCGTCCCAACACAGCAGCCGTCCGGAGGTATCGGCGGGGCACTGCAAGTGCTGCTGTCGGTGGTCCTCCATGCGGCTCTGTGCGTTCGGACACAGGCCGCACAGTCGTGTGTCGTAGTTCGACTACAGCACAAAGGAAATTACGTTACAATAATTCAACTTCTCGCACCTCCGTCGAGGCACGTACTTGACAGGCCGATTTTTGATCACAGTGTCACTTTTCAATTTCAAATAATCAGAAACTATCAAAGGCATTGGATATATTACACTGCAAGAAAATTTTAAGCAGAAACACTTGATGGTTCCCTCCATTTAGACTTAGATATTATTATAATATAATTATTTTTTAATTTTTAGTAATTCTGTACTGTACTGTATTGTCTTTTTTGTTGGAATTTATATGGGTGCAATATGCCTGAAGTAAAAAAATAAAAAACCAGTAACCAAAAAAAGCAATAAGTTCGGGTGCAATGTTATAGTTACCATAAATATTAACTGCGACTAGGACTCGAACTAAAAACCTTGCATTGTAGCCAGATAATCTGAACCACATGGGTAAATAAATTATCTTTAATATATATATATATATATATATATATATATATATATATATATATATATATATATATATACTTTTTATTTGTACACAATGTTAGTGTGGTAGAGCCACTTTACAGCTGTGTCGCGTCTGAATTGATCTTCTCCGCAAGGGAAGGATGAAGGCCGAATAATGCTGTCATGTTTTATGTTGTGAGAGTTACGAGCACCGAAGACTATTTGCTGGTAAAGAGGCAACCATCTCAGTATCAGGGGTGACACCGCATCTGCATTCTTATTTTAAACGAGGATAGATGTTGGATGTAGAGGATGAATGGGCCACAGCATCCACTTACCACCAGGTAAACTTGTTTGTCACACTAACTTGTAAAAATACAAGTAACAACAAAATTATCCAAATATGAATACACTTTTACATGTAATTAAAAGCCATATTTATGAAACAAAAGGGCTCAGGTTAGATAACTTATTTGTTCCTACGATATCTGATTAAGCTAAGCTTATTGTTATAAGATTGGTAGGTTGAGATTCGATATTCTTGGAAGCACTGCTGTCACTATCAAATACACAGTATCTTTGCCAGCTTTTATTACACGTTTAGTTTACTGTATTAATGCGATAACGTGGCCCTCACGGGCCGTAAATCAGGTGTTTTGTTTCATAATTAATGTTTTGTATTATTAATAACTAGTAACGCAAAAGATAGATATTCTATACACTTATCTTCGTGAAATATTATCAGAACGAAATGGGTATGTAATTGTTATCTACTTCAATGTAGTAACGTTTAGGTAATACATGACAGATGTAAAAATAATAAGGATTAATATCCTAATCCTAGGTAATCCTACAAATAATTTAAGAAAATAAATTATATATTGAGCAAGCCCGACACATCGAAACTTATGTTAAAGACATCCATGGGCGCACAACAGCGAACACATAAAAAGTTACAGCCTCTATACGTCCCACTGCTGGGCACAGGCCTCGCCTCATTTCTGAGAGGGTTTTTAGGGCAAGGAAGTGTCCGCCGCGCTGCCCCAATGCGTGTTGGCGAACTTCACATGTCTTCGAATTCTTTCCTTATTTCTCAGACATGCAGGTTTCCTCACGATATTTTCCTTCACCGCCAAGCACGTGGTAAATCAGCACTTAAAATTGCAATTAACAATTTCATTGGTTACGGTGGGGATCGAACCCGGTTTGCTCGCGTACTGTGAAATTTACAGCGAGCGCTAACCACCTGAGCTACCATGGCTCTTATCAGGGAGCACATATGGGTGATGTATCCATCCACTTAATACCTTCCACACATATTTAATAATTGCGATGTCTCTCCTCACACACAGGCGGCTGTAAGCGAACATACACAGCACAATTATACTCGAATACATCATATGATAACAATTATACTCGAATACATATATGAAAAGGGTAGATTCCGCGCTGCTTGGAATATAAAAATCGTGTACTTAAATTTATTCTGAATTTTTTTTACCATGACACTATAATTAATTTCATGTCGATTCGATTCAATGGGGTAAACATGATGATCCAAGTTTTTCCGCCACTTAGTGACAAGTCAATAGCGATGCTATATCGCTAGTGTATTGAGTCTGTGTCCGCTAAAAGTAATCGTGTCCTGTCACAAGGAACAAACATAACGTTCACAGTTTACGTTACTTAGAAAGTTTTATGAATGTATTCATTCATTGCACGTGTATAAGACAAAAACAATAGATTAGAAGCTCCGAACCCGAAAATTCATTTTTTATTTGACTGCTATCATTTCGGGGAATTCCAAGTAAGACATCATTATATTTTACTAACTACGACTAACGAAGTCTCCTTTTTTAAATTCGAGTTATAGTGTATAAATATGTATTATCAATACTTCGTAGGGAAATATAAACATTTTGTTCGAGTTACAGTCTCAATAATTCGAGATACCGCGTATTTAGGGGTTCAGCGGAAGGGAATGGCAATTTTTTCGACTTAACGAGGTTCAAGTTATAGAGGTTTCACTATATACCTATTGTGTTAAAATTTATATATATATATATATATATATATATATATATATATAGTACACATTTTTAAATACGTCTTTGATATATATGTGATTTAAGCTATTCCCAGGAAGGCATTCCAATCAAGCAAATTCACATAATATAGCTAGTTATACGAATCACACGTACGTGTATTGGGTAATTCAAGTGTTGCACGTAAAAACTATTAATGATGAATAACAAATTCTTCTCGACACAGTTACGCTAAGTTATGCCTGTCTTAATTTAAAAAACATATTTACAGTAATATATTATATATATTTTCGTTTTCGTTCGATTATTAGCGTTATTACTTCAGTTACACCTGGTAGAGTCCTAACTGTAACTCAAAAGATTTCTAACTTTCGGTTTCCGTCGCGGTCGTTCGGCTAGTGATCTTTTAGGTTACCTAACTCATCCGATTACACGCCCATGAACGATGGTGTTCCACAAGGCTGCGTGCTATCACCAACGCTGTTTCTTCTGCATATCAATGACTGACGATGATGATGTTGCAACTCGGTAGCATTCGTTGCTATGAAGATGACAGCACTGGTGATGCTTTATACACCGGCCGTGCCAATATTTCTCGGCAAAACATCACCGAGTACCGGGACAAATTTGTGTCTGAAGTCGAGATTTTGTTGAACAAAATCTCGGACTGGGGGCGACTTAATCTAGTCCAATTTAATCCCCAGAAGACACAAGTTTGCGCGTTTAACGCTAAAAACAACCCCTTCATCGTATCTCCTCAGCTTCAAGGTACTCCCCTTGTTGCCTCAGCCAGTATCGGAATCCTCGGCGTCGACATATTGCGTGACGTGCAGTTTCGTTGTCACTTGGAAGAGAAGTCCAAATTAGCCTCTAAAAAGATTGGCGTGCTTAGCAGAGCGGGACAGTATTGCCGGCTCACCGCTTGCAACATTACAAGGCGCAGGTTAGGCCGCACATGGAATACTATTCCCATCTCTGGCCGGGGCTCCTCAGTACCAGCTCCTTCTATTTGATCGCATCCAGCGCAAAGCAGTACGAATCGTCAGCGACCGTGCTCTTTCCGATCGGCTTGACTCACTGGCACTGCGAAGAGATGTTGCATCTCTTTGCGTGTTTTATCGGATAAACCACGGGTAGTGCTCTGAGGAATTGTTCAGACTAATTCCAGCCGCACAGTTCCATCATCGCACATCGCGAAATCAAAACTCGCGATACCATCCGTACCATCTGGACGACTGGCGGTCCACCACTAAGCGATTTAAAAGAAGTTTTCTTCCTCGCACAACTTCCTTGTGGAATCAACTACCACCAGAGATTTTTCCGAACCGATACGACTTAGGGACCTTCAAGAAAAGAGCCTATTCCTTTTTAAAAAGCCGGCAACGCATCTGCAATCCCCCTGGTGTTGCAGTTGTTAATGGGCGGCGGTAATCACTTAACATCAGGTGAGCCGTATGCTCGTTTGCCCCCTGTCCTAAAAAAAACTAGCCTACAGCGACCTATTGATTTTAAATTTTTAATTCATCCCGTGATTCCTCAGTCAACCAAATGCGAAGCTGTGATAAGTTTCAAAGTTTGTGTGTACGTACGCTTTTTGCTTAAAACACAATAAAAGATTTTTTTTAATTGCAATCACCGCACGTTAGCGTTATGTTTTCTATCATATATTTCTATTGTACCTAAGTGATATCGTATGTTCAAATTTTGTTATGAAATAAAAATAGTTTAATACAAAAATCAACAGCAATAGTAATAAGCAACCTTAAGTTAAATAATAAAAAGTAAAGTGAAGTAAAGTTACAACCTATATACGTCCCACTGCTGGGCACAGGCCTCCGCTCATTTCTGAGAGGGTTTTAGGGCAAGGAATTGTCCGCCGCGCTGCCCCAATGCGTGTTGGCGAACTTCACATGTCTTCGAAATATTTTTTTTCTTATTTCTCTGACATGCAGTTTTCCTCACAATGTTTTCCTTCACCGCTGAGCACGTGATAAATTAAACAATAAAAGGAACAGAAAATCAATATATACTTTATAAAACTTGTGACCTCAGAGAACTGTAAATTATAAAAAGAGGCTGGAAGCTGTTTATTTTAGTGATTCCGCCATAAAACTTCCACTGGTCGGTGGTACCACATAGCGCAGGTAGCCACGGTATTTGTCCACCCAAAGACGACAAAGGCCCGTACTTTCCAGCATAAGCAAACATTCCTAATACCAAATCGATTAATAACAGTGGTTGCCAATTGCCTGCCAAGCGTGAGAACCATGGCAAATATTCCTTTTCAAATTCAGAGGTCAATTTAAAATTACAACCCGATAAATGTAATGATTTGCGACGAGATGTCGCTTATCTTGGACATTTAATCACGAGGTGTTTCGCCCACCCCTGATAAGGTAAAGGCTGTTACTCAGTTTACCAGACCTAAGACTGCAAAAGACGTGATGTCTTTTCTTGGTTTGAAGCAACCTATGAGCGAGAGATATATACAGCACTGCACTTTTAAAATATTGTCATTGATAAATGAAAACCAATCACAATCAACCATCTTTGTCTCATTCTTTTTTATGAATCGATTTTTACGATCTCGAATGGATCGATCAATTTTTATGATCGAAAATTACACGGCCTCGTTGCGACTGCACATTTCGACTTATTTATACTATCATGATCTGTCTGGGACATTCACCTGCGCTGCGCTAGGGTATGCTATTACGTAAGGAATTATACTTGATTATTTTACATGAATAATATTTTGGATTTGGTATATTTTTAAAAGGTTCTTGAGGTGGTCACGTCAAAGAACAGGTATAATAAAAATTTTGTAGATTGGAACAAAAGTTAAATTTTTATCTATGGTAACCGTTGTTAACTATGACCTTCGGACGTTGAACATCTCAGTCCTCCCCGTGACCATGGGTGCTGTAAAGCGCTCGAAACGTTGGGTATTTATAGTTAAATATACGCGATAAAATCCGTAAAAATTAGTATTATTTCAATTATAACTTCAAGTAGAGTCAGACTAACATGGGAATATTATAATACTGAATGACTTTTTACCACTCGGAAAAAATAGGGTGTAACTGGCGAACAGAATGGAAGCCTATAGCACTGATATTTTACAATTTTTTTGCTTTTACATTAACATATTATGTAATTGAATGAACTATCAATACATACCAAATAAATTACGGTAATAAAAAAATAAAAACAAAAATTTTGAACTATGTACATAAATAAACCAATTAAAACTACTCTAAATTAAAATAATACGCACCTAATTAGTAGTATTTATTGATACATCAATTTCGAATAACAATTTAAGCAGTATGGGCAACGATCAAACTCGGGTCGCGTAGTAGGAATTTTGATGCAAATACTTATTATTAACCCTTCTTTTTTATAGAATAAAGGATGATACAGTCTACCGGTTGGTAAGTGGATGCCACGGCTCATAGACATCTACATTCTATCCACGATTAAGAATCAAAATGCGGAAGCAGTGTCACCCCTAAAGGTGTAAAACACCTCATTACCACATTATATGAAAATGAAACACAACATTATTCTGCTTGTTTACGTTGGTATTCTGTGAAAGCGTGATCGCACCCCTATGAGCCGACCCAACCGTGCTGCATCTATAATGCATACTGCTGTCGTAGCTGCAGCATGACTCTACCGTGTAAAATAGTGATCGAAAGAAACGAAAATAGTCATAAATTGCCAGTGGTAATCTTAGTTTCGACTGCTCTCATACAAGGAGAAAATAAATAAATAATTGTTAAATATACGTGTACAGGAATAATATATTTAATTTATACTAATTGTTTATTTATTAGACGATAACAATAGCTGCCCCACCTTACCCGGATCAAGATGTTGTCGTCGCCGTCCGCCACGATGCGCGACCAGTCAATGGTATTCGTGTAGCAGAGACGATCGTTCTGCTGTATGCGAACCCCGCCGCGTTCCACTTTCGACAAAGAACGAAGGCCCAGCGACTGTGGAGACAGAGAATGCCATTGTATACTTTAACACAATCACCCTCTTAACGGTCGTGACAAAAATACACAAACAGAGGTAATTTTAAGCAATCGCAAAATTCATACAAATAAATAAAACGGATGAATGAATGCTTGAAAATCCTTTTGTACTTATAGTTAGTAAAACAATATAACTTTACATAGTACTTAAAAGTGTAAGCATGGAGGAGCCATAAACAGTACAAAATTTTGAGGTTGAAGCTGAACCACAGCCAAAATAATAATCTTCTTTTCTAAATAACACGGTAATAAAAAGACAAGTGTATTATTGTCACTTGCCACCTTGCCTTATTTACAAACTTGGCCCTTTTTTGTATACTTTACAATAAAAATATATAGAATAAGTGGCGTACCAGTACCGCCCGGAAAGAACAAATTAAGTAATGTTGTTTGAAATCAGTAAATTTTCCGATTTTTAAATAAAGCGGCTAGTATATAATTCTAGTTTTATTATTTATATAAATTTAGGATTACCAAAAGAAAACGTGTGGAGAGGTAGATAGTATTAAGGGATAAAATTATTGAATACTAATGAAAGATCAATGAATGTTTTTATAAAATAAAATGCATGTTCATTTTATAAAAACATTGATTGATCTTTTTTTTTAAGAAAAACAATAGCTTCATGTGCAACTTGTGACTATGTAGTAACATACAATACTTCATCGTGCAGTTGGTAGTGGAGTGTGGTGTAGAGTAAGTGGTATGTGAAGTTTAAATTAAGTTATATTTAGACAACTTTGGTTGAACGATATGGGACTAAAGTATTAATTCGGAGTTAAATTCAAAAAAATCACTACCTATATCATATTATCAAACGATTATAAATTGATAAATTTTTTTCTTAGGTCGAGGAAATAAAGAAATTCCACTTTTTTAAAGATGTGGTGTAAAATAACATAAAATTAGTCAAAACATCTACTATAGGGTTTATTATGACTATTTCCGCAAGTTACCTCAAGATCTTCGCAGTCAAACACAACTATAGCGTAATCCTTGAACAGTTGCATACCGCGCACTACAGAGAGATTCGGAAACAGGTCGCCGAGGTTCCGCACCCCCATCAACCTGAAAATATACACGTTCATATTAACACAAAAGATAAATTAATATATTACCACATTTATAAGGTTACTAAAATACTGCTGTTCAATCTAGTGAGATATAGTTGGACAGTAATAGGTACTACAAATTTAAAAAAATGTATTGTATAGAATACGTACCTATATATCTTTATATAGCCAGTTACTTCCCTTAATTCAGGAAAGCTCATGTTGTCAAATGCACTCGGCGAGGGATGTTCGATCACGACAATACTGAGGTGACCTTCGATCACCCGGCACCCTCGCAGCTTCAGCATCTGCTCCGGGTGGCTGCGTATGTCTATTGACGGGCATACTGTAACAAAACATATATCACGTTATTGAAGCAAATCGATAATAATTATTTTGTCCTAAGTCGACGTCTTGAAAAAAGGCCAGGTTAAGAGTACCCTAAACCGTAGAGCATGTATGAAGGGAATAATGAAAGTAGACGAAGCGAAACAAGTATGTAAGGATCGTAGCAAGTGGAAAGAAGTGGTCTCTGCCTACCCCTACGGGAAAGAGGCGTGATAATATGTATGTATGTCCTAAGTCACAACCATAGAGTTCTAATATAATAAGAATAATGATGTAATCGTCTCTGCAAAAGGGTTAATGCCCCCGCCAGTCTCCCGGGGCATCTGAGGTTCTGAGGCGGCTAGGACTACGTGAAGGACCGCACCGGGCTCAAATATGCAGAAGACCCTCCTAGATACCGCCCGCATCGTTTGCCGATTTCTTTTCCTTTCCCCCTAATACTCGGCCATTTGGTCTCCCCTGCCGAGGAATTCCGTCTGGTTGTGTTTCTATTTATTTTTTACTTTATTTAATAGGTATTAGTTTTTTATTCTACATAATATGAGAATGCTACGAAATATCACTAAATAATAATAATTTAGACCGTATTTCGGTCACGGCGGCCAGTTTCAACGGAGACTAGCCATCTGCGCAGGACAACAGTATACTCTCCTCTCATAGACCGACAATCCGAGACGACTAGAGAGATCAGGCGCAGGCCCAAGGGCTCTACGTGCTTTTCGAGGTTCTCCACGGGAGTGAGACACTGCCAACTACCTAACTTCGGTCTGCAACTATTTCTTGACAGAAAAACCCAGTAACTGACTTCGGCCCAAACGTAATCATCAATCGCGTTTACGATTATTAGACCAACCTCGTAGTACCTCGTCGTCAACAGTTAAAATTATTGTTAAATATTCTCAAAGCTCATGTTTAACCCATTAGATAGAAAATCTCATTTTTGATTATTCTTTCAAAAATTAAGTAATAGTCATATAAATATTTCTAAATGAATAAAAATGACCCATTCTGCACCGATCACTAACATTTTAAATAGTCAAATCTGTAGTATTGAGTTAGTGGAGAAGTTCCGCGTCAGTGTACTTATGTAATAATAAGATTATTATGCTAATCAGTTTTTCTTCTTATTTATTTATGGTCAAAGGACCTACTATAATATTCCAACTTGGTACCTTCTTAATAATAATTATTACTTTTTCATTGTATTGGAGAATTGTGTTAGTTTTAACAATGTAATAAAACTGGTAATCGTATTCCTGGTCCCTAGGATACACCACTATGCCTAGCTTGGGGTTCGCCGGTAAAATATTTATACAACTAAACTGAACGTTACTGTTCTTTTACAATAGTACATGTGTATTATACTATAAATACCTTACTCATTTTTTATGATTTTGTTATTTTGACATATATTTTTGCTATATCATTTATTATACATGTTACACAACATTGATAATAAATATATTTTAACCTACAACTCTGGACTTTATCTAAAAATTCAAACTAACATACTAGCTAAATCTAATGTCATTTATCAAAGTACGGCCATAACGTTACTTCGACTTTCACACCTGCAATGCAGATACCAAAGTTAGACGTGCCAATTTAAGTAGTCGACAGCAGAATTGTAGTACTGGACAAGAACAGAACAGACCTTAGCAACATAATGTCAATTGTTTGTCTAAAAAAGTTTATTGCGATGTCGTAAACGAGACCTTGACAAGTTTTTAACCTTAAAGCGCTAAATTCTTTATATATACAATAATTTGCGAGGCCCTTTTCTATGCATTGCTCGCTAAAGTATACTTTAGTGAAGAAATTGTCAAACATTATTTCTCAAATCAAAGAAGGCAGCGTTTCGTCACTACCCCAGGACAGGTCAGGATACTTTTTCTGACTAAGAATCCATTTTATACGCTAGACCTGCAAAACATACCAGGCGACAGTGAGCAGCGGCAAAGGTGCAAGATGTTTGGTACCGCGATCACCCATTCGCCTGTCAAATGTGACAATTATAACAAACCCGCCTATAACAGGAGAGGTCCATGCCCAGTGGTCTTTTATGACCTGATGATGACAATGACGATGTTCCACTAAATCCCACTATGGAGGTCATTTTCATTGTACTTGTTTCACGAAAGAACCAGTTCTAAATTGTAACAAAGACTAGCAGAACGCAAAAAGGAATATAAGTACGCCGCGATCACTGACTAAAAAGACACTCTAAAGATCGACAGATAGCAGAAAAAAAAAAACAAAAATGCGCAACCTAAGTAGTATCATAGACCAGGAAGAGAGGTAACTTTAATGGTACGAAGGCTCTCTGCGATCATAAATAGCAGCTATATTATAGTTGTAGCACGAATGGGTCGGCGGTCGAGCCATGCTGCAGTTATATTAGTAGTATAGTTGTAGCACGAATGGGTCGGCTCGACCGGGGCAGGACCACGCTCTCACAGAATACCAGCGTAAAATAGCAGCGTAATGCTGCTGTGTTTCGTATGGTGAGTGTAGAGAACCGGAGACCCTTTACACTGGAATCGAGGCATTCCATCTTAGTACTCAGGCGCGACAACGAATTTGCATTTTGATTATTAGTTGAGGATTAATGTGGATGTCTATAAGCCACTGCATCCGCTTACCATGAGGTGGAATGTGTGATTGTTTGTCACCCAATGCCTTAAAAAAATGTTTTCTTGCCTGCCGTCACTTTTAAGGAAATGACTTATAACTTCAAAGGAGAGGAAACGAAAGAGCGCACGTCCTAGATGCATTAAATGTGATCACAGAGCCATGCGCCAGCTTTAATAAGAATTTTTAAGCATATTAGAAGCAGCTGTTAGAACCGTTACGAAATGACTGATACAAGGGGGTTAATTACCTTTCGACGTAACCACATAAACGGCAGCGCAATAAGCACACGCGGGCACGTTCCTCAATTAGAAGCAATTATTTTGTTAGCGCCTTCGTGCGCCACTCGGTTATTTGCTAACGATCTCCCGCAAAGCAATTCTGAAGGGATCACATGCGAGCTGCCCTCACATATACTCAACGTATATCAGTCTCAACGTATATCATGATCAGTCAGAAATTTCGAGCAAGTATAGAGTGGAGTAGAAAGCTTTCGATAGATAGTCCAATTTGCCAGAGCCTTCTAGCGATTGAACGTATTAGTAATAACATATCGTTTACTTGTATTCCTGCATAGAATTGTTTCGCTTCGTCATTTAAATAAAAAGAGCCCTTAAAAAGATTCATTAAAAACAGTCATTGAAGAGCACTTTGACGTACCAATGACGGTAAGCTAAAACAAATGTGGGTCTAATTATTGTGGTAATAAATAAAATAAAATCCCCTCAACTTTGTCGTAACATGACAATAGTAATTAGGAAACGGAAATCATCATTTTGTGTTAACTATATTCCACTATCTGCAGATAGTGGACTTCTGCAGTAGCGTTGTGAGGGGGAGAGGTAAGGGTTACATGGCCCCAGATTTTAAGGGGCGATATTTTTGGGAAAGAAAAGTTGGCTTCCCGCCTTTACTTTTTAGAGGTCTGTACCGTAACCAACGGGATCCCATTACTAAGTCTCCACTGATCGTCCGTCTTTCTGTCTGTCAGTCCGTCTCTTGCATCTCATTCATTATCCGTAACAGGTAGACAGTTGAAATTTTTACAGAATGTATATTTCTGTTGCCACTATAACAACAAATAACAAAAAATAAAAATAAATTAAAAATAAAGGGAGCTCCCTACTCGAAACACGTTTTTTTAGTTTAATTTGCTCGATTTTAATAATAGCAACAAGTAGACGATTGAAAAGCTCACAGTTTGTATTGCTATATTCGCTATAAAAATATTTTGAAATAAAATTATATTTAAAAACTAAAGGGAATCTCTAAACAGAAGACGTATATTAAATCTTGTAGGATAGTACGGAACCCTTCATGCGCGAGCCCGACTCGCATTTGGCCGGTTTTTAAATGATACCCGTAAAAATCCCTTCACTATTTTTTAAATTAAACTTTGCACTCGAACAACTCAACCAAATAATGGATATTGTTTCTAAATGGATTGCAGTAAATAATTTCTTTCTAAAAGCAAAAAAACAATGCTCGCGCAACACGTAAATTAACCAACTTTGTATACTTTTTGAACCAGTGTAGATTTAGACGTTCAAAATAGTTTTAAACAAACCCAAATTAAATAAAATGTTTTGACTCAAACTGAACACTTCGGCGTAAAAGAATCGATCATTCCATTGTTTCGTTGTTGCGTAAATGACGAATATACCATATGTCGGAGATATACCGGAAAGATTTTATGGATTCTGACAGATTGCGCTTTAACCATCTCATTTACGCCAGACAAGCAACAAGACATATTCGTACTCTTTGCACCGGCTTCTATGGTAGCTTCTTCACTGAACAGGCTGTACTGTTTTGAAATCCCTCGTCCGATGACATCAGAAAACCGTCTAACAAATACTCCTTGAAAAAATTGTGCTCCATGACCATCTACTGAAGAATCATCTTCCAATATATAAAAATTAATATTTGTTTGTTCGTATTTTATGCGCTGCCATACAGTTTATCAGATTGCCCTAAAACTGTCAACCTATTGCCTGCACCTGCACTAAGGTTATAGGCATAGTACAATTAACTTATAGTAGGTGACGCGCGTATAGTACCGTCAAATTTGTTTTAAAGTTATATATCCTTCAATTTCAACGAATGTATTATCATTCCCAATTTAACAATATAACTCCTATTTCAAACGATATTTCCTCAATTATTTCTTGTATTTCTGTGGCAGCGTCTACGACTAAACTGTCAACATAAAATATTGACAGTTTAGTCGTAGTCTAGTATGTGTATTTATTTTATATTAATGTTTTCTTTTTACGTTTTTTTTTCGTATTTTGTTTGCATATTTGTATTTAGAATATGTGTATTTAGT